CTGCAACCCCACACCGTGCTCAGTGTGATCCCAGGCAGCTGGCCCAGGTGGAGGGGACACAGGGTGCTCTGGCGTCCATGGTCCTCTAGCAGCTGACCTGTCAGGGGTGTCAGAGCAGGCGGGTCCCATGGAGGTCAGCTGTGTCTACCTGCGGCATCTGACACTGGGGGAAACAGACCAGGAGTGAGATACTTCGGACCAGGTGGCTGGTTAGTGGGAGACAATGTCCAGAAGCGAGTCTCTGGGCTGGTTGGACGGCACCCTTCTCCCGAGGGCTAAGGCCAAGGTGGGAGGTCAGGGTTAGCCCTGGGCATGAGGAATGATGCCCAGCTACTCTGTATACTTCTGAACCCCTTCCTATGTAGTTCAACCCAGCTTGGAACTCACTGTGTACCCCAAGCTGGCCTTGAATGTTTTTCCTGGCTCAGCCTCCTGAGTGCTGGGAGGTTGCACCATCAGGTCTGGTTCCCCTTCTTACTTGTTACTTCCCTATGCCACATGTGACACAGACTTAAAATCCAAGAAGAGCTGGGTGTGGTGACACACGCCTGTAATCCCAGCATGCGGGAAGCTGATGCAGGAGGATCGCAGTGAGTTCAAGGCGAGCCAGAGCTACACAAACAAGTTCAAGGCCTGCTGGACTACATAGGGAGACCTGTCTAAAAAACCAACATAAAACAGAACAGAACAAAACAAAAGCCTAAAATAAAGATCCAAGAAAAGTCTGCAAAGGAGAGGGGGCTGCAGTAGTAGTCTGGGGTCCGTCTCACTGCCCTGTGACAGATAGGGGGCTCCTGGCTGAGGGAGATGGGGCAGCAGCCACATGGGGATGGTATCATGCACACAGGGCCGAGTCTCAGGAGGCTGGAGGCCACTGACCTATGGTGGCCTGCAGGGACACATGGGGCCCACTTCAGTGATGGTGAGGACCTCCCCTCACTCTGCAGGCTCCCGCCACTGCTGTCTCCCCACACTTCTATTTTCTTGCTTTTTGGGGGGCAGCACTGGGATTGAACCTTTGCCCTGAGGTACAACTCCAGCCTGTCTTTTATTTTTAGTTTTGAGACAGAGCCTTACTAAGTTGCTAAATTGCTCAGGCCGGGTTTGACTTTGTGACCTCTTGCCTCAGCCTCCCAGAGGGCTGGGATTACAGGGTCTGCACCACTACTCCTGGCTTGCAGCTATTTGTACAGGTGGCTGTGAGCCCTTTGTCGAGGTGGCTGGGGTGTGATAAGTGTGGGAATGACGCTAAGGCCAAATCAAGGGAGGGGAGGCCTGTGGCTGCTTACGGTCACTTGGAGGATTCAGTGAGCTCGGAATCTCAGCTTTGGGGTTCCCGTCATTGTTCTGCTTGCTTCTGAGGTGACCAGTGAGTTTGACGGCTCCACCCAGAGCCTGAAAGGGAATCAGGCAGTGGGTTCTGGAGAACCCGTCACACTGACTTCTCAGGGCCTCTCCTGGGGCCAGAAGGCAGGCCCTGGAGATGGGTAACCCACGGAGCCGACTGGATTCCAGGGAGCAGGGCTGCACTGTGACTTTTGGGGCCCTGGACACTTGGCCTTTGTATGCTCCTGCTTTCATGAGACATATATTAAAATTACAATTGATAACTGCTGGTAGCAAGGCACATATGTTCCTGGATGGATTCATTGTTAAATATTCTCTGTTTTGCTTCTGAGTCTAAAAGTACTGAAAATTAAAATATTTTGGGGCCCCTAAAAGTATTATGTTGCCAGCCTCTGTGGCCATTATGCCTAATGGGGAAGCTGCCCAGGGCAGGTCCCGGGAGTCTGGGCTGAGGGTGATCTGGACATGCCACATCCCGGAACTCTCCTGGGCAGCAAACTCTCCTGCCAGCTGGGGACTGAAGCCTGGGTGGCCACATTTTTCTACCTTGTGGGGAGGGGGTAGACAAGCACCATTTGTGTCCACAGAGATCAACTCTAGTTTAATGGCTTCACTCTTCAAACCAGGAAGCCGAGACCTGGAGGAGGAAGTGATCTGATTTCCAAAATAACTAGTGGACACTGAGAGTCAGAACTGTGGGATAGCCCCTTGAGTCTGGGGAGCAAGAGGTCGCGAGTGTGGGCTCATCCCGTGCCAGGCAGGCTCTCGCGAGTGTGTGGTCCTCTATGTTAGCCTGTCCCTCTGTGTGCGGACAGAGGCTGAGTTTAAGTTTCCCTTCTGCTGATTATAAAGAAAGCAAATGTCTGAGGAAAATGTAAACTGTAAACAGGATGGGGGGGGCTTAAACTTCTGGGTCAGTTGTTTTCAAGTCCTTTAGAAGCATTGATTTATGTTGGAAAACAGCTAACAATAAACTGCATGCTACACCATAGTAATACTTCCTAGTCATTGAAATAGGCTTCCTGACACCGTTACTATGGTGAGCGGTGGGCTATGAATGGAAAGCACTACAGCTGGATTTCTTAAAAAATAAAAACAACTTCAGAGTGGCCCAGGTGGCCCAGATCTGGAGGTATTTTCTGACTGTCCTTTGCTGGAGTCAAATGTCAGGGGAGGCAAAGCTCCGTCACCAGCTAGATGTGTGTGAATCCACAAAGTCCTATCAAGGGAACAGCACTAACAATTGTAGTTCAAAAGGGAAAAATAAAACAAGCATACAGACAAAATCCCCACCAACACCTGAAAGCAACAGCAAACAGGCCATCTGTACTGTGGGGTCCCACCGTGAACCCCAACTGCTCAAATGTCGCTGTGATGACTTGGGATAGGTCAAGCGGATGTTGCCTAATAGCATCTCTCCTTCCCTCTGCTGGGCTTAACATTTTAAAATGTTTCTCCCTACTTCTGAGGGCCCCTGCTTCTGGGACTTCCTGCTTGTACAAGAAAGAATCTGTTTAGTGATTAATCAGGATCGTGCACTGTCATGTTTCATTTTTTAATAATGAAAACTCATAATTGCTTAAAAATATTCTTAGATACATCTAGTCTGGTAACCATCACCAACCTCCATGCTTATGGGAATTCACACACCCGCTAGCAGCACCTTGGTGCTGGCTGCCCTCTTTGGCACCAGAGCACAATAATTTATTAAGCTTCTGTACGTAAATAAGTGTGCACAAATATCATGCAAACATTAGGACTGTACTCACAAACAGAAAGTGTATTAGAGATAGGGTTACACAAAAATCTTGTAAACAAAAGGGGAGAGGTGTTATTTTCTGTACAAAATACGCAAGTCTTTCTCTTTCTTTTAATAATCTGTAAGATGCATCATACTTCTGGCATTTTCAAAAAGTGAAAACTGTATAAAAATAAATATTCTATGTATAAACACACACACAGGCCAATCCAGGGTTAGAGGCATCACTGCAAAACAAAAACAAAACAATGTACAGTTAGTTTCAAGGGGGGTCTGTGGATGCTTACTTCCCCATAGGCAAGGAGGAGGGTCCTGTCCTGGGTTGGATGGGAACTCTGGATAAGAACACTGGGGAATCATGAGCCCCCTGGTAGGAAGAAACTCCGTGGATTTTAAGCACCTTGAGGGCGGGAAATTCCTTCACCTTCCAGCTACTCCCTTTCATGGCCACAAGAGGGCACTCTCGGTATTCTGTCTTGGAGGCCTGGCTGCTTCCCGCCAGGTCTCAAATGCAACTCAATGGGTGTGGACCAATGAACCGGAAGCTCTCTAGTTGCTTCTCCAAAACTCTTTCTCTCCATAGTGGCTGCTGTTCCCTTGCTAAACTCAGGGATATTTTTATTTTTTGACCATCAGCAGCAACCTTGAAGCAGAAATTCTTTCTTGGGAGCAAGGGGCTGTGTCCCTGGATAATGTGGAGCTTTACCTATCTTGTAGGGGACAGACCTAGGTAAGGCAGCTCCCTTGAGTGTTGAGCTTTTTCTTTCTTTGGTTAGGGGGTGCTTTAGTTACCCGGACACACAGGTGTTCAACCTAGGGCCTGGTGTCTTGGTCGCTTCACTACTTTCACCCAGTCCTGTGGGCACTGTAGCACGGGGAGCTTATTTATCTCACTGTAGGAGTGGCTCTGCTGTCACTGGACTAGCTAAGCACAAACCTGGAGCAGGTGGGGTCTCCAGGCATTTTAGGAAGACACAGTGATAACCTGAGACATGTTGGTGGAGGGCTGCTGAGGAGATGCTGAGCAGGGGGCCAGGTGGAGGGAGGCAGTAGCAAGCCCATGGCGGCAGGCGGGGGAGCCGTGCACTAGGGGGGCCAGGGCTGAGTGGGTGATCTGTGGAAGGGCTTGGCTTTGCGGCCTGAGACTGCTTTAATGGTGGCAAATGCCAAGGGGATGTGAATCAGCAAAATCTCATTGCTGGCCGGAATGCTGAGAGCCCAGGAAAGACTGGGCTGCGGGTGGCACGTGTGCAAACGCAAGGCTCCTGTGGCTGAGGCCCAAGGGGGAAGGGTTTGATGGGGAGCTGGACCATCCCTGTGAGCAGGGATAGAAGCCATGTGAAAGCCAGATGTGGTGCACATCTGTAACCCCAACACTCTGGGTAGCTGAGGCAAGTTTGAGCCCTCCTGGGGCAATTTAGCAACTCAGCAAGAATCTGTTTCAAAAGAAAAAGGAAAGAGGGCTGGGATGTAGCTTAGAGCAAAGGCCTTGGGTTCAGTCCCCGGTACTAAAAGAAAAGCCACATGAGTTTAGTGTAAATAGTGTGGATATCCTCCATCTGGATGAATATCATGTGGCTTAAATAACTTCATCTGGATGCTATGAGGGTAGCTAATTGATAACCTATTTTAAAATATGCCCTCAAACTCCTCGGAGGACAGGCACTACCTAAACTTTTAAGTGTTTTCTGAGTGTGCGCTGGGCTTGGGGTGCTCTCTGGGCACCTGCTTTGAAGGAGCGCCTTTTCCAACGCATGTCACGCTGCCTCATTGGCAGGAGGCAGAACTGGTGGGGGAGAGGCATCCACCCTGTCTGAACAGCGCGGGCTGGGGGGCGGGCGGGCTTACCTTGTTCCAGCAGCCCTGGACTGGCAGGCCGTCTTGACCCTGTCGGGAGGAAGGGAGGCAGAACATTGAGACTCTTGGCTTGGTCCGCCAAGCAGGCAGGGCAGGGTTGACAAGGCCCACAAACATTTTGGCAGCTTGTTGGGTCTGGCCCACCCACCACTGTCTATTTTTTTTTCTCTGTTCCAGGTCAAAACCCTTGGAAGCGGGTGGGAGACAGATGCTGCTGTTTCCCCCTCTCTAAGGTCTCATGTGGCTGCAGCTAAGGCCAAGAGGGGGCCGTCCTAGCCTGCAGGATTAGCGAGCACAGATGTCTTGGAGGGCCAGGAGGGGGCAGTCGCTGCTCTGTGGTGTGCTGGATGCTTGTCACCCAGCACTTGGCCAGCCTCTGTTTCTCCTGCTGCAAAGTCTTGGCAGAGGCAGCAGTCAGTGACCCTCTCAGCCAGCCTGAATGGGAGGAGGACATCTAGACAGTCCCAGGGATGGTCAGTCCTGGGTGGGGGTTGGGAACAAAAAGGGACAGGCATTCAGCGGTACTGGAACATGTCCCAGGGATGCCTTCAGTGAGAGGACAAGGATCTGGCCAGGCCTCAGACATGGCTGGGAATTTGGGAGCAGAGGAGCAGGGTGGGGCTATAGCTGCGCATGATTTGGGGTAACTGCAGAGCACCCTGTAGCCTCAGGATGTTGTGCCCACGGTGATGGAACCTTCCTATGTTCTCTTGACCTACTATCCTGTCCTCTCTGGCACACCCCAGGGGAGCCTAGCAATGGCTTAGCAGGCAAGGCTGAACCAAGGGCAGAGTCAGGTTCTCAGTCCCTTCTACTAGCAAGGCAGCCAGACCCCAGGGTTGCAGGCCCCAGGGCAGGGCCAGAGCAGGCCTGGGGGCTCAGGGGAGGAGCCAGTGCTCAGTTCTAAAAGGAGGGAGGCCAACCAGGCATCCTCTGTTGCCCGGACCATCTTCCCCACCCACACCAGACACCTGTCCCCCCTCGTCACTTGGCCTTCAGCAGGTGCTGGCCAGACATGAGGGGGGAGACGTGGAGTTCTCTTGTACTAAAAGTCATCAATAGCTCCCCTGCCCCCCAAGTTCCTAAGAATACAATGCAGGAGGCAGAATGAGACATAACAAAGGTAAGCTATGGATCCTTCCATGGAAAATTAAGACAAATGGCACATTGCTATGGGATGCTGCCAGAGAAAACGTCACTTTGCGTGAAGGAATGACCTTTATCTCCCCATGGGCCGGGGAAGGGACTGCACAGGTATCTGGTGCATCCCACAGTGTCCTGGTGGCCCTCTGCCCTCTTTCCAGCCCGCTGTGCTTTGACACACTCTTCATAGTCTCTGGGAGGGAGAGGAGCCTCCACGGGCCACAGGGCATTCCCACTGGTGGCAGGAGCAGAGGAGGCGGGCAGGCAGAGAAGGGAAGGTCACATGCAGTGAGAAGCAGGGAGGCTGAGGTGGTGGCACAGAACTGAAGGTGCTCAAAGGTGGGAGAGGATGTGGCCCAGGGAGGCCGGTGGGGATTCATGGAGACAGGTGCTCTGACACCTGCGGCTGAGAAGTGTGCTCGTGCGGCCTGCAGGGCGGGTCAGTCCCAGGCAGCCAGTGGGGTAGGAGGCATGCTCCTCCATGTGCTTGTCCTGTGTGGGGCCTACACAGGCCCCAGTGCCCTTCAAGGGGGCTCCAAGGTCACCCACATGCTGGGCCTCCAAAGGCCCTGGTCCCATCTACTAGCAAGGCAGCCAGATCCCACAACTGCAGGTCCCAGGGCAGAGGCAGAGCAGACCTAGGGGCTCAGGGGAGGAGTCCACATTTTCTTATACTGTTTTCCCTCCTACTCAATTCTTGAGTCACCCCAGAGTGAGGCTGGGAAGTCTGGTACAAAAATAGTTCCTGAACCCCAACCCTTCTGGGTGAGTAGGAGCTTCGGAACCGCTCCCCTTGGAGCAAAGTGTCACTTTCTGCTTCTCTTGCAGTTAGCTAAGAGGATCATAAGGAGCTCTAAAGCATCTGCACCTGGAGAGGGACTGGGCCGGGAAGGAGCCATCTGCTACCTCTCAGCCTAGGACATGGCTGCAAGAGGTGTCCTTGCCCCCCACTTAACTGTGTTCTCCACCTTCCCATCCCTTCCAGACTCTTGCGTGGGGAGCCACCCGGGGGTGTAGGAAGGACCAAGCGATGGTCCCATATGTCTTCTGGGACTTAAGCAAGGAGAATAAGCTCTCTAGGATCTGACACCTGGTCTTGGACTGTCCCCTAGTTTTCATGGTGTCCTCTGGGCGGTGACCCAGGACCCAGTCTGGAAGAACAGAAAGGGTACATCCTTTCTCACCTTGCTTCTCGAACTCCTCAGTTTACCCTGTGTCTAGAACATGCCCACCTGTCCACAGCCGAGCCGTGAGATGCGGGGGGCAGGGAGGAGGGTAACAGGCACTCATCCCAATGGCTTGGTAGGTGCTGGACAGGCGCGTTCTGCCCTAACTGCAAGGCATGGAGGGCAGGAAGTCATGCTTCTGTGAGCCTGACCTAGTTTATCTCTGGTGTCAGAAGTGCCTTGAAGGGTCAGAAGCAGTCAAAGCTTGCTTGGGGGCTAGGAGACCAAGGTGAGGTGAATCAGAAGCAGCTAGAGGGGGAAGCCAAGAAAACACCCAGCAAATTTTGCATGCAAGAGGGCCGCGTGCTGGGAGCCCTCACAGTCCTAGGCAGGTGACCCTCAGTGTCCATGGAGGGAAGAAGCAGCAAACGGGGGCGGGGTAGGTGGAACAGAAAGCACAAGGGCCTAAACCACACACATGAGACACCCAAGTCAGCCATGCAGGCAGGCAGGGCGATGCCATACCAATGGGCATGGGGCATCCAGTCCGTCCAGCCCTGGTAACCCCGGTTCCCCTTTCTCTCCTTTAAAACCTCGATGTCCCTGTTCACAAAATCAACCACGATGATTATTTAGGTCATGGGTGGCCAGCTCCAACTGTGGGGTGAAGAGGCCCAGTCCTACCCTGGCCAGGATGCAGGACCCTCAACATGTAAACCTACAACAAGTAGGGCTAAGTCCCGCTGGCCCCTCACGCCCCACTTTCAGCCTCTGTGCCAGCAGCGTCCAGCTAAGGGTCGCATACAGCCGGCCCTCTGCACTGACCCCGTCTGTTTACAGAGTCCTGTGGAGCGCTCGCAGGTAACCTTCGCCTGCAGCGCATCATAGATTTCAGAACCTTTGGAAGGACTGAAAGGGAACTGAACCTGTCAGAGGTGCCACACATCATTAGATGCTGGCTCTTCTGGGAAGGTTTCCTGAGGGTGTCGCCCTACTGATTTTAGGCTGCAGCTTTCAGGGTTTTGGCTGGCTGGTGGGCATTGTGGGGCTGGTATGAAAAGCCCCTTGTGTGGCCTTGTTCTGCCCAGCACTGAGCATTGAGCACCCTCAGGAGATTCTCCCTGTGGCATCCTGCATCCTGACCAAGTGCGGATTCAGATAACTAGAGCTGCTGGCCACAGAAGTGGCCACGAAACAAAGAAGGCAAATCATGGCTCACAAATGCTCCACCGGCTTCCAAAGCCAGGCCGGAGCCAAGTGCCGAGGCCTTCTCCAGAACCCTCTTTCCTCGTGGTTTCTTCACTCCCATGCATCAATTGTTCTGCATCTTCAAAGAAAAACGATTCAAAGGAAAGGGATTGAGCCATAATTATTTGCAGCTGGGGTTGGAAGGCAACACCCACAGCTGGCAGAATTTCCAATGAGCAGACAGACTTTGGTAGCATCAGTGTAGTCATTTGGTTCTCATCTTAGTTGATTTGCCTTCTTTGTTTCCAACTTGCAAACCTCAAGGAAACAACCAGAACAATACAAGTGAGAGATGAAAACATACCAACGGACAGGGGGCATCTAATCCAGGTGCTCCTTGGTCTCCCTTATCCCCTTTAGGCCCTCTAGAGCCTTTCTTCCCCCTCTCCCCCTGTAAATAATGGTTTAGTCCAAGGGAGAAAAAACAAACATCAAAACTTTAGGATCATTCACGTGTTAAAGTTAGAAACAGAAAACGAAAAATAAAGTGAAAGAGGAAAAAGTAGGTTCTCTTAATTAGGATATTCTGCCCAGCAGGCTTTGAGGTCAACGCCCACTTCTCCCCTTTAAGCACTTAAGAATTTCGCGAAGGGGGAAGGCTGGCAGGTGGACAGAAGACACTGATGCCCATGTTTGAAATACTAAGCCTAGAGAGGGTCTGAGATGAACTGAGCGATGAAAGGACCACCTTCCTTTTCTTTGAGGGCCTATTTTTGAAGGGCTTTGGGCTCACAACATTTTGTCTCAATTGCTTTTCATCTCTGATATTCTACGAGGGATCACAGTGATTTTGTTCAGAGTCTTGGGTATGTGTCTGTCTGCACGTGTGTGCAAGCGTAGCCTAGGAGAGCATATACACCTACATGCCTGTGCACATGTGTTAGAGTGGGTCTGTGCTTGGGCGTGTGTATGTATGTGTGCACATGTGCACATGGGTGTGTGTGGTTCTCACCTGGGTTCCCCCATTCCATATATGTCTCTGGTTCATCCTGGTCTGAAGTCATAGACAGCTGTTTTTATACATTTTGTTTTATTATAGAGAACTATTTGTATGTGGACATGGTGGTTCATGGAATTCATTAGTTTGTGAAAAGCTTCAGTAAATGTCATCTAAATTGGCCCTATTTTCTAAATGTGTCAGTGTTCATTTTAAGAAGGGCTGCAGGAAATTCTTAAAAGTGAAGAATCGCCTTGTAATGAATTGGAATTTGGATCTTCACGTGTTGTTTCCTTAAAAAGGGACCAAGTGCGCCCCAGGGAGTTTCCTAGGATTCTTCTCTCTGGAAGGTGGTATCTCATGCTTGGGGACTTCCACAGTGTCCCTTTAGGATGACAGGACCTGAAGGCTGGGCAGCATTTTGGTTAAAACAAAGGCTTGGAGTCCAAGCTGGTTCTGCCAATTATAAGTGGCATGACTTTGGGAAACAACTTAACCTCTCTGAGCCTCAGTTTCCCCACCTATAGAGTGGGTACAATAACACTTGCTTCAGCAATTTGTGGTGAGGTCTGTGTGCACATGAGTGCATGCTTAGCAAGGCACAGGGTACACGCTCAGTAGATGACAGTTGCTTCCTGATGAGAACAGTAAAGATTGTTACTTCTTGTCAACCAGTAGAAGAGCTAAAGCTGCCATCAGAGGGTACAAAGTCTTGTCATGTCTGCAGGGCTCTGCAGAGAAAGGCTTTGAGGATCAAGTTGGTTAGGAGGTAGACATTAGGAATACTTGGTAACACCCAATTTCCGTGATGATTAAAGTGCTAGAAAATTTCCTCGAATCTTTGAAAATTATCCAAATTTCTTGATTCTAGAGACCATCTGCAATTGCCAATACATTATTCTAAACCTATTTTTAAAAACACACATCCCCACTTAGAAAATGGTATGTATTTGAGAGGAAACATGGGTATACATCTTCAGTGTGACCCCATCAGCACAAAGGCCTGCCCCCTGGGCAGTGCTGCATGGCATCAGTGAGCCCTAAATGGTGCATAGCCATTGGATGGAGAAGCCCATGTCCCCAGGAGGGGGCCCTTCATTCTCGGGTGTGAGCACAGTTTCTTAACTAAGAAGGTGTGCAAAGCTGCCACAGAATGGGAGATTCCAAGTCCTAGACGACTTTCATGAGGGTTAAAGGGTAGACCAAATGCCTGACTTCCCTGCTGGGTCTATGGTGCACCTATAACCCAGGAGGGCGCACTTCATTCTGAGGGCCTGGGCATCTTCCCAAATCGGGTACCCTTTGAGGATGTTAGACTAGTGGCTTTCCCTACCTCCTCCCAGCCTCCTGCTACAGAGATGGGCACACAAGGGACCCTGCCGGGGGAATTCTAGTGGGTAAGGGGGAAAGGGGCAGATAAAATCAAGTGCAGAGGGTTCTTAACCAATAAAAGTAAGTGTATAAAGTTGATTTCTGAGGAAATACATTGGAAGGTGGGGAGTGGCTGAGAGGGGATGAGGGATGTGGGATTATAATGGGGTGAACATTTTGGGGGGAGAAGATAAAAGTAAAGGAAGGAAGAAACAGGCCCAGGCAAGAAGAGAGAGTGTGGTGGGAAGAGAGGAGGGGACAAGGAGGGCTGAGAGAAGCAAGGCGTGCACACGCATGCACACACACACACACACACACATGTATACACATATGCACACACACAGACCCAGGCAGGCATCTCAGTGAAGCCTCAGACCTTTTCAGTTGGCTGGCTGCCAGGCAGCTCCATGGCAACACCCGATTTTCCTGATGACTGAAGTGCTAGATTCACCTTACCCTTTATGCTCTGACTGATGTCTTATCCCACTCATGGCTCCTGGGCCAGTTTCACAGAGCTACTTAGAGACAAGGGACATTTCCTTAGTGACCAGGACAGAGCAGCCTTCCCATTGTCATATGTGTCCTAAGCAAGCTTCTGTTTGGGGCCTACGAGAAGGAGCTTCCTCCTTCCCTAAACAGGAAAGAGGCTTCCAGACCATCCTCGGGTGGGACACGAAGCAGCATAATCTTAAAGTTGTGTCATGGTTCACTGAGGTAGAACAGATCTCTCATGAGGTCCCCTTGGCACCATGTGGGTGAAATTAGGGGGCTGCCTACAGGGAGTCACCCTCCAAAATTGTGGTGGCGTGGGCGGCTTCAACAAGCTTGGCTTCATCTTCTAGGGGAACAATGGGGCTTCTAACCAGAATGTGGGCTTCGCTTGGTGGCATTTTACCTTGACGAAAGCATCAAAATCCCAAGCTTTCAGCAGAAAAATGAAACAATACTAAACGTCTTTCCCCGAGTCTGCTTGAGCTTTTGGAAGCCTTATTACCAAGTCCTCAGTCTAGCCCCCCAAATCCTGATAGGGCTGGTGGCAAACAAAGTGTGAATTAGGAGAGACAAATCTCTTAGATGAAGAGAAGAACCATTCTTCAATTCTGAAAACTGCTCTTTGGTGTAAATTAGGTGGCTCTTTATGGCGGACTTTGTGCCATTGTATTGTTTTCTGAACTTGGCTTTGACTAAGTAACTTATTCTAACTTATATAGGGGTGAGGGAAGTGTGTCAGCACCAAGAAGGAGAAGTTGAGAAGAACTATTTTCCCACTAAGTCCCAGGACCTCCATGGATTATTCAACAACTTTGGTTCCTTTGGCACCAGAGTCACCAGCCTGATCGAGCTCTTCCTCCTCCCTTCATCTGTGACCAGGGGCCCTTGTCCATCCTCCTCCACTTCTATCATCGCTATCACTACAAGGACTGATTCTGCAGCCTTCAAGTAGCTCAATGCCTTAAGCCAACTGAAAATGTCTCAAGAAATAGGTTTTGAAAATATAAATCAAACAGAATAAAACCAGAACACTTTAGAAGTAAGTCAGAAAGGAGGTTAGCATGCTACTGAAGAGGTGGAATGATCACATTGGTCCAGGCCTAAATTCCTTGATGCTGCCTCAAGAAAAGCGGCTTCTTAGTCAGCCTTGAAGAGTTGGCCGAGGATCCAGAATCAGATCTGCTTGTTCCAGTGGCTTCTAGACATGGTCTTGCCGTGGGCAATCCAGTTGGAGTGGCTCTGCCTGCTCCCACTGGTTTATATAATTTGTGGGACAAACTGAGTTGCTTTTGACAAGCTTCCAGAAGGAGTATTTAGAGATATTGAAGCACTCAGTAAATACTTCCTACACTGAAGAAAATAGAATGAAATTGGTGCCACATATGAACATACAGATTCTGGTACTTTCCACCCATGAACATGGCATCATCATTAAAAGATCAGTCATGAGAATGGGGTTCTGGAATTCATGTGTCCTGCCTCTAGCTCTCTGGGGGGATCAGTACCTCTTATCCTCATGCTGGCTGTGTTTCTCCATCTGCTCCTGCCATTCTTTCTCTGAGATTTTTTGACCCACTAGAAGACGACTCTGGGCCTCTGGGGGGCATGTGGCCCGTGCCAAGAGCTGCTGTGAGGAAGCCATGGAAGAGACATTCTAGGAAGGACACAAGTCCTTTCTTGGAGAGACGGCCCATGTGCCCAGGGCCGCGCCTGTGTCACAAAACATTGCATGGCTGTGGGCACCGTGGCCGTTCAGGGCATCCTGGGGAAGATGGCAGAAACGGAGGGAGAGCAAGGGGCCTGGGAGGTCTGCAGACTCTTTGCAAGAGAAATAGCAGCTATTCTTTTTAAAAGCTTGGCTGCTTACAACAGCTTTCTACTTGTTCTAGGAGCTGGAATTTATTTTCTCACTCACCAGTGGTCTGGAGTGCCTGGCAAAACTAACTTTCAGAAGGCAAGGACGAGGTAAGGATGGATCTGAAAATATCACTTAGGGCCTATTATCAGGGCAGCATGGAGAGGGCTGGACTCATAGCTCCTGTTACACTGGATGGCAATGCTAATCTGATGGCCACTGTGGGATTTAGCACATTGAAATGTGGAATAGTGCACTTCAATTTCAGGATTAGCTCAGGCTTCCTGCATGCCATGGATTAAGCCCTTTACTATTAACCCTTTCAATTTAAGGTGATTTATCAGGAAACATTGTATTTCCACGTTAGGTCAGGACACCCCAGTCGATCATTCCACCCTATCATGAAAACATTAGTAACCAGGGCCAGAGTGTGAGGCCTCTGACTTACCCGGTTTCCTTTATCCCCGGGTGGTCCGTGTAAACCCTACAATAAATCAGAGAAACGAAGACGTTAATGAGCAAATACAGAACAGCCAGCCACACAATCTTCGTCCCAGGGCTCAGAAAGCTCCCTGCTGGTGCCTGCTTCAGTGGAGACAGGCTTAATTATCCCCATTTTACAGAAGGACAGATAAATAAATCCTCCAAGGAACTTGACCTAGAGGTAACGATGAGTTACAGGCAAAGCCAAGAACACAGTTCTGGTTTTCTTGCTCTTGAGTCCATGTTCCTAGTTATGTTCTTCTGAGGTCATCAGTGCAGATGAGTGGTCAGTTCTGAGGATGTGGTGGGCAGGCGTAGGAGGTCACTGGCAGAGGAGAGCTTCTATGGCTCTCCTTCTGAGCTCTTGCAGGCAAAATGACTCCACAGCTTCTCAGACCTTCTTGCAAGGTGACAAATGGGCTTGGGGAATAAGTATGAGCACAGACTGGCTTGGACTCGCCTCCTTAGGCAACCCGTGACTACAACCTCTAAGTTCAGTGAGCCTTCCAGGCTCTTTCAGGTGGACGCTCTGCTTTCACAATGAAGCACCAGGCCAACGCCCTGCAGGTAGACCTGAATCTGCTTCTTAAGGTCTAGCCCCCTTGGAAAAGCTGCTTGGGTTTTGGAGTGTCTCTTCTGAGTCATGGAGGTCTGGATTTGATGCTGCTCTTCTCTGAGGGCGGAGGTGGTAGCACAGTCACCTGGGAGGCTCCGTGCACCTGACCCAGGGGCTCCGGGTAGGCTGCTATGTCCTGCTATTTGGTCCCCTAGGCTTAGCACCGGAGAGTGCCGTTGCGAGCTCCAGCTCCCCCACCAGTAGCTTCTCGGTGGCATCCTCTGTCACAGAATGCTCCAGGCTCTGGATGTTCTGTTTTGCCCTGTTTTCCAGTGAGTACAAGGGTAGGGTGGGGGAAAGATTGAAAGGGAGAGAGAAAAAGAGACAGAGACAGAGATAGAGAGGGAGACAGAGACAGAGAGAGAAAGAACCTCTGGTCCCATGGGACTCACAGGAAGCCCAGCTGCTCCCGTTGGTCCTGTCATCCCTGGATCTCCTTTGCTGCCCTGAAATGAGAGAAAGGAGCCTATGAATCCTTACTGATGTGGCAACAACCTTCTGTCACCATTTCTTATTCTGGTACAAAGCCCAGGCAACCTCTTTAACCCCCTCAAAGCCCTCAGGAAGCCAGAGCTGTGTGTGTGTGTGTGTGTGTGTGTGTGTGTGTGTAGGGGTGGGGCTGCTGACTCTGGCCCGGAGGGGCTGGGGAACCCCTTCACTCTCTCTGTCCAATAGAGCCTGTTCCCCAAGACCCTCCAGAAGGGCTGGTATATGGGCCCCTCACAGAAGAAAGTAAAGCACAGGATGGCTTCGCTGTCTTCTCTGAAGCCTCAGAGCCAGCCCTCAGAGCAACCATTAGCCCTCTGCAGGCACAGCCCACCCTCCCCACTCCATCAGCCCTGCTTGCAGTCTGCAAGGTGGGTGGACAGAAAGGGATGCTTCCGCCAGGTGGACCACTCAGTGGATGCCCTGGGGTCCAGCTGGGTGGAGCGGATGAGAAAGAGCTACGTTCTCCTGTCTCTACCAAGCTCCCTCCAGCCTCCCTCAAGCTCACTTATGCCTGCTCTGCACAGAATGGGCTGACATCAGGGTGTCAAGCACAGGGCCAGGGCCACTCAACAGGGACCCCAGGGACCAAGCCTAATGCTCTCCCCTCCAGACTTCCTGAGGTCCTCTGGGAACCTTCTGGTCACCCCTGGGCACTCTGTTCTGTGCTGGTCCCCAAGTCATTACCAGGGTAAGCCCGGTGACAGCAGCACTGGAAGCCTTGCCAGGCTGCACTGTGTCAGACACTAGGTGAGCGGAGGCTGAGGTGGAGGCCGTGTCTCATCTTTCCAAGTTGCCCACACTCATGGGCACAGGCCTGCCAGTCCCAAGGGTGCTGTGACAGTGACAGATGAGGGGAGGGCTGAGGGCTGAGACTCCTGGGGCTGATGCGGTAACCACCGGGGTCCCAGGTCCCAGGCTGGGGCTGAGGAAGGACGGCCTGATCCCTCCCTTCGGGCCATCTGGGCTCCCAGTGTGCTCACCCTCTCGCCCTTTGGTCCTGCGGGGCCTGGAATGCCAATTGGTCCTGGGGTACCCTGGGAGGGAAAGAGAGCAGAGGTGAGGCACCAGATTCTGGGGAGCCCTGGGAGTCCTGCCCGACACCTGGAGAGGAGTGAGGTCCAAGGCCCAGTTTTCAGGGTTGGCGAGGCCGGGTGTGTTCAGGGCAGTCATGCGACTCGGTTGTGAGTATTTTGGGGCTTGGGGGTCTCAGAGGAGGAAGCACCTCCCTGCTGGCTCAGAGCCGGATTTATGGGATGAGACCCTTTTATATCACAACCAAGCTCACCAAGGCTGAAAACAATAGGAGAACGGCTGCTTAGTCTGCTCCCAGAAGCACTTGGGAGGAAGGTGACCACATTCCAGAACAGGGGCTGGGGCTGGCACCCCTGTGCTGTCACAGCTCCACATGCAGCAGGAGGGTTTTCATGCCACAGAGACCAATGCGGACGCACACAGAGGCAGCCTAGAGAGGGTCATTCAGCAGCACCCACCCTGCCCCCCACTGTGGACCTGTCTCTGGCTCCAGCCTCTGTCCGGGCCTTTTGTCCCCACCCTCAGGCCTGCAGAATAGCTGGAAGGGAGTGAACAGCGTCCTGGTGTCTGTACTGCACTGGCCTGCAGGGAGGTGGGGCAGGAGCTCTCCTAGCCGGGGCAGCAGGGAGCTGGGGGAGGAAGCCACTGGAGTGGCATTGCTTAGAGACTGAGCAGGTGCTATGGCATCATCAGACATCTTCCCCCGGTCCCCACCTGCAGCTGGACTGGAGCAGGCATGTATTTCACAGCCCCTATTTCTCTGCTCAATGTTTACGTGTCTAACTCAGACGAGGATGCGGGGTACGGGGTGTTCTGAGAGTAGCTGTGAAAGCAGGTCACGAGCAAGCGAGAAAAAGCTGATTTCCTTCACCTGAGGATAAAGAGCCATGAGCTGTTCTCCATGGCCCCTTTGCAGCTATGAGGAAGAAAGGAGGCCATGGGCATCCATGACAACAGCACAGCTAAAAGCCAGAGCCAGACCAGGCTCAGAAGAGGACTCTAGAGTCCCTGGCTGGGCTCAAGGCACCTTGGAGGCCCCAGAATCTTGGACCCTGGAGGAGTCCCCTAGCCTGTCTGAGAGCCAGGTCTTCTGACTATAAAACACGGTAACATCAGTGTCTGCCAGGCCGCTGCTAGGTCTCAGCGCATCGATGTTAACATTGTTCCTGCAGGCCACCACATCAGCCCTGGAGTCTCCGCCCCCATCCCGCCTGCGTCTGCTCATCAAAAAACCTCATTCCCAGGTGGGTCCTGGGCCAACGTGGCCCCAAAAGCAGCCTCTAGACAGATGGGGGATCTGCTGGCTGGGAGGGGCTGGGCATACACACAGCTTGTGTGGCCCCTGAGCAGGGAAGGTGGCTGCCTGACCCTGGAGAAGGCGTGATCCCCACACCATGAGAGGTGACTGATGTCCTCATGGATGCTCAGGGCGAGGACTGAAGGTAGAGAGGAGGCCACTGTCTCTGGTGCCTCAGCTGTCTGTCACACAGAAGGGTTGGTACGTCTACGAAGAATGGAGAAAGGGAACCCAAGCGCCCGCCCCTGCTCTGTAATACACCCCCTTGCTGTGCTGCAGGGCGGCGGTGGGTCCTGGCAGCGAAACGTCTACGGTAGAAACACGTGCATGGGACACGGAGCTGGAACTGGCCTCTCTGCTCTGCCCATACCCACCAGGCTGGCCACGCAGGATGTGGAAGCCCCACGGGCAGACAGGAGAACAGAGCTCACAGCATGAAGACAACACAGCGGGACGGGCACATACAGACACTGGTGTGTTTGCTGGGGACTCAACTGTCCTTTGAGTCTGGGACAGTGCCTGCAGGCCCAAGGTCCCCGGGTGCACAGGGTAGATGGGGTGCCTGGATACAGGCCATCCCTCTTCGGCCAGGAGGCCTGCGAAAGCACTCTGACCTGAGCGTGGACGGGGCCTTTCTGGTGTCTACGGTGGGGACAAGGCATGACTCACTGGGGAAACGAGGCCACAGTGGGACAGACAGGAGGGACCACAGGCTGGGAGTGGGGTGGGCGGGTGGGGAGAAGTGACACTCACCGGTGGCCCCGGCCTGCCGTCCAAACCTGAAGCTCCCTGGACGAAGGGCACAGTTTGACCAAAAGAAGGGGAAGGGAGGAGTGGGAGGGAGAGAAAGGGACAACGGGAAGGGAAGAGGTGAGTAAGCATGACTCTGGACAGACACAAATGCTGGCATCAAACACGACGGGAGGAATGAGCCTGGAGGACAGGGAGTGTGTTTACATGGAGACCAGGACGACACGGAGACACCAAATGCTGTGGCCACTGCTGAGCAGGCTGGGCAGAGACCAGCACAGAGGACGCTCTGGTCCTCCAAACACCTCACTCTTCTTGTGCTGCATCTCAGGAACCCCTTGCCTGGGGGGCCTCGGGGCTCCAGGGAAAAGGATAGAGAAAGGGAATCCTGGAAGAGGTCTAGACCCGGGGCTGTGCCCAGGACTGGATTCCTGGGAAGTAGGAGGCCTTGTTGAGGACCCAGGCAAGGGGGCCCTTCTTGGCCTCTGGCACACTGGTTGAGACCAGGCCAGACCCCCGTCCTCTTTCCTTAACCTGGTCAGCCCTGAGCTCCAGCATCTGCTTTGGAAACCTGGGCAGAAGCTGGCTGGAAGAGGTCAGCCCCTAAATGAGAATACTGACAGTGCTTGATACTTCTCTGGCATTTTATCGTTTGCAGAACCTAACACAAACTCAATCTGTTCATACGCTGCAAGCAAGGCCCTTTATAGAAGAGGCCTTGAAGGCAGCTGAATGGATCATAGGTCTAAGCCCACGTATCCCTCGTGGCAAACAGGCACATGGGAAGTTGTTCAGACCCACACCCACCAGTGATGGATGCTGGGAATGGAGTGCTTGCTCCAGGGCCAGGCTAAGAAGCTATTCCTGTTGCCAACCTAAGAAAACTAGCAGACATTTTCTAAAGGTGCCAGTGTGACTAGCCAAGGAGAAGGCAGCTGGATTCTCTAGCAGGTAAGGACTGAATTCCTGGAAACTTTCCAACTGAGCCCAGAGGTGAGCCTCGGTCTCAGGATTTTAAGGTGGAGGAAGCACCCAGGAGAGGAGGCCAGGGCGCTGATTCCTCCCAGAGAAAGAGCATCAGGTAGAAGATCTGTTGAGGTCTTAGTACTCAGCATTAGGCCTGCAAGGCTCTGGGCCTTCAGGCTACAGCTGAGGTTCTCAATTCCAGCGTACATTAGCATCTTCTGGGCTGGTATCACAATCCAGATGCCCAACCACACCCCAGCCTAATTCCATCAGTGTCTCCCAGAGGGGCCTGCCTCTACTCAAAAGTTGGAGAATTCAGTATAGACCGGGCACTTTGTCTTTCACATGGCACTTATCTATCCATATTACCTGGCCTGTCACTGTGCCATCTGCATGTCAGCCCCTGACTGCATTCTCTGATGTTCACTGGGGTTGTTGGGGCCATGAAGGTGGGTGAAGAGAGGTTTGTGCGTGGGGGCAGACAGGAGGGAGTTTCCACAGGAAGGAGGACTTACTCACTGCAGACACAACTTACAATAAGGAAAATGTCTGTTCAAGTCATCAATTTTTTTTGTAGCCTGTCAAGCAAATCAGCTTCTCAAATATTCCTACATTTTTGCATTAATGAGGGTGTAATTGTACCTTTTGCATTGGCTGTGATTATATTAACCAGATCTTCAGGCTCTGCAGAGCTGGGGTAATTGGTTTCCCATTGTTGCCCTGACCTTTATGGCTAGCTGGGGTGGGGACAGACCTTGAGGGGGGAGGGAGGAAGACAGAATAGCTGAAAGGAACCCCTTTGCAAGGACGTCGACTCAGTAGCGGAGCAATGTCTGGCCCAGTTTGTCCACTAAGTTCCTCGTGACCTCAGCTGGCCACCGATGAAATGATGACATAGGTTGCTAATGCCCCTTCCAGCTCTTGAAAACCCAACTCAAAGGGTGCCAACCTCAGTAGGGTGTGTCATGTGCTCATCTGGACACAGATGGGGGTGAGAAGACCATCAGGCCACAGGGGCATGGGGCAAAGGGATGAGGCCAGGCCAGCCCAGCCCAGCCCCTACCTCTGGACAAATAGATGCCTCCTGAGTAGCCTGAGCCACTGACCAGGAGCCTGTAAATCTGAGCAGGCAGAGCTTTCTGGGATCCTGGGGAAGGGTGGGCCTAGTCTGCTGGGACCACGGAGCCTGACTGTTACATACTTCACTGTTGAGGCTGGTGCTTAAGAGGACAGAGCACGGTTCTCTTGGAGGTCCTTCTGGGAAACAAAGGTGAGATGGAGGATACTGCACTGTTACACTGCTCCCAAGCCCTCCATATTAAGCCTGCATCCAGCACACTTGATTGCCCTGACTCAGGCACAAGCAGGTGCCGAGGCTGTTCTTGGGTCCCTCTGCTTTTCCATCTGACCTCCTCAGGGTGGGAACCTGTCCGACTTAGCTTCACATTCTCCCAGCACCAAGGCAAGGCTTGTTCTGGGGGAGATGCTCAGAAAATTAAAGCCTGTGGTCTTGCCCGGGTGGGAAGGAAGGCCACACAGAACCTTGGAATACTCAGAATTTTAGAACCTTTAGAACTTTAGAACCTGCTTTCAAGCAGCTTTCACCCCAGTCCCTCGTCAGGGCCACCCCAGTGGGCTCCTCACAGTGGTCTTGCTTGGGCCCAGATACTTACGGGTAATCCCAGAGGCCCTCGGTCTCCTTTTTCTCCCTGGACACCCTTCTCTCCTTTTGCTCCATCTAGTCCTGCTTCCCCCTGCAGGAGAGGGAGATGGAGGAGATCACAAAAGGGCCTGCCGCAGACAGCTCCTTCCCACCTCATTCTGGTTTATAGAGGAGGAGGAGGTGAAGGTGGCTGGGCCAGAGGTGGCAGGCTGGGGGTGCCAAGAATCCCCAGATCCCTAGCCTGTCTTTGTCATAGTTAGCATCCTCCACAGCAAAGAGGATGAACAGAGTGGGAACAACACACAGGGCAGTTCTGGGTCAGGCTTCAGGACAGGGGACCATCTGCAGGGCAGGAAAGCTAGGACCCTGCAGGATTTGCTGGTAGATGCCCAAAACACCACTATCAGACCTCAGAGGCTCACAAACTTGCTGGGAGAAGAAACTCCCTGAACAGTGTGGGCAGAGGGTACGGGTCACTGTCCAACCACCAGCTTCCAGCCCTTTCTAATCACTTGCAATGCTTTGGAGGAGGTCAGGAGAGCCCCAAACCAGAGGCCAATGGGATTGGCCCTGGGAGGGGTCCTGGGCTACACTGTTGTCTGTTTTCCTCCTGTACTTCAGGGTGAGTGAAGGGTCTGGAGCGGATGAGATGGGAAAGGGGTTTCACATTTTCTAAGAATCTAGCCTGTCACTCTGTGGAGTCAGTAGATGGATGGGAAAATTCTGGGTTCCAAGAATGCAGGTGTCAATGCTTGATGTTAAAGGGAATGTGAGAGCTTGTTCTTCCCTGGTGGCACTCCATGGCTGGAGTGTCACATGGGACCATTTAGGGAGATGGGTCAGCTGGGCCTCTGAAGCACTTTCCCTCTTTTCTGCCTTCACTGGTCAAGCCCCTCTTCCCTCTTCCTCCAGCTCCTCTCACATGACCTCTTCTTACCTTTGGTCCAGGTAGACCTTGGAGCCCCTGCATGTGAAATGAAAACAAGGTGCGTTAGAACTGTGTTTCTAGTTCACGTCCCTGCCCACGGGCTGGCTGGCAGCAGAGCAGGGGTTTGAGTGCAGAGTGTGGTCTGGGGTCCCTGCCCATGACAGACAGAGGGAATGTAAAGAGGGGTACTGCTTGGGGCTTCTCTGGGTACAGTTGGAGCCAGTCTTCTTCAGCCAGGAGCTGACAGAAAATTTGTCTGTGGCTCCCGTGGCTGACCTAGAATCTCATGAAGAGGAGACTGAGGAGACACAGCAAAAATGAAAAAAATTAATGTATACAAAGTGTTTAATGTTGGCACATGGTAAGTTTGAATAAATGTTGGCTACTGTCATTGTTGCCGCTACTACTTCTACCTGTGACGACAGGTGACACCCAGTGCTGCGGGGACTGTGAGCCACACAGAGGTGCAAATGAGCATTTGTCAGATTAGGGTGCATGGGGGCCCTCTAGGTACAGTGGGAAGGGGTCCCAGGTTATGTTTCTGTAATCACAAGAAGGCCCCCTGGACTGGTGTTAATGGGCCACTTGCTTCCTTCTTCCTTTTTTTTTAATAGGACACTTTCTATTTTAGTCCTGTTTTCTTGCCAGCTGGGTAGCAGGGAGGAGGACAAGGAGGAGTAGATGTCTGACAGCAAAGGATTAAGAAATGCTGGGCAGAGCTTGGAGAGAAAGAAAGGGCTGCCGTGTGGGCCAACTATTTCCAGAGAAGGAGGCATGGCTGCAGGCTCCCCAGTGTCCCTGGGATGGAACTTTAACCTGGGAGGGATGTTGAGAACCTGACCACAGTGGACTGAACTGCTGCCAACAAGGCCTCTAAACTCACCGGAGGTCCAGGAGGCCCCTCTGGCCCTGGTGGCCCAGGAATCTAGAAGCCAAAAGGGAGCCCTGTTATATTCCATGTGGTCCTCTCTCCTGACACGGCCCAGGGTCCTCCCAAGGCCACTGGAGGGCAGGACCCCCGTGGGAGGCCAGCCCCATACACAGTTTCCCACGAGAAGGCTCAGGAACTCATAGCAACCCACCTGCCTGCACACCACTGAAAAAAAACATTGCCTGAGAATGTCCCCAGGGCATCTATTCTTCCAGATTTCTTAAAGAGCTGGAAAGTGTAGTAGCACTAGATTCAGGTCATGTCCGTGCATGGCAACAACTTCCTGGAGAGGAATAAGAGCTTTTCCCACTGGGTGGGACCTGAGGTCCTTGATGCAGTCAGTCTCTGCTACTACCTGCCGTCTTTGCTCAGACCTCTGGTCTTTGTGTGCCGTGTGCCCGGGCCCTGTAGGCACTTGAGTTTGAGACCCTTGTCTTAGAGGAGCAGAAACTGACGATCTGGAGGGGGAAGGGGAAAGTGTCTCTGAAGAACACTGCTCAAGTCCCCTGGGTGTGGAACAAGGTGGGGAACATTCCCCTTGAGGGCTGCTAGCAACGGAAGAGATTCAGACTGGACAGTGGAGGGGAGGAGCCACTTCTCTACACGGTCTGTCGCTGATGAAGATGACATCCACTTGTGCACGGTCTGCCACTGCCTGCTCCTTCCTGAGTAGGGGACACCACTCAGTTTCAGGGTTCTCAGGTGCCTCGGCTTTCCAGGATAGAATTCCCCGGAGTGTGGCCTGGCCGAGGACCCATCTGTCAGGCCAGCCTATAGTGGCAGCAGTCAGGCCCCTAGTGTCCCTTGGGCTCCACAGCTCCCTAATAGTGACTTCATAGGAAAAATAACCTTTGGAAACTCTACCTTCCTTTAAAAAACGCTTACTTTTCTTTTTCTTATTATAAATAAGAAATGGATTATGGTAGTGGTTATACAAGTCGATACATGTATTACAGGTCACAGAATTGCATACACTCCTCCCTGAAGTCAAATTTTCCTATTTATTTATTCATTTTTTTTTGAGAAAGGTCTTACTGTATTGTTCAGGTTGCCCCCAGGCTGGCCTCCTGCCTCAGCCTCCTGAGTGCTGGGATTACAAACGTGTGCTACCATGCATGGCAATTTTTCCTATTTAATAGTTTTAAAACTAAAAAAAAGTTAAACTCATTACAGTATTTTATGAAAAGAGAACTGAAAAAAAGAAAAAGAATAAATCCCTGACTTAGCTAGCTGAGAAGTCCTGCTAATATTTTGCCTTTTCTTTCCACATTTTTAAATGCATAAAATATGTTGAATATATACATATTATATACTTACACATGTTGAATATATATGAATGTACATATACTTATGATGATACATAAATATAATTTTGATTTTGTTTTTCCTCACTTAACATGAGACATATTTTCTGAGTTGTTGTGTGACATTTCCCACAAGCCTCCTTCCCTGGTGATGTGCTGGTCACTGAGGGGACCGACAATGAGTCACCGCCTGGCCAAGGATTAGAGCAGCGCTTGATGTGAGGAAAATTGTTAATCACGGTGACTATTACCATGAGCAGCAGCATTAGTAAGACTTGTTTAATCCTTTCCTTTTCTTAGGAATATGAGCTATTTCTAGTTTTTCCATTAAATACTTATGGGAGGAGCATTTTGGTGTCTGATGCTTCTCTTGCAATTGGGACCATCTTGTTGGGGGTTCCATTTCTAACAAGTAACTTGCACAGGACGGGATCAGGTCTGTGTTACTACATCAGATGGGGTGGATGGGGCTGGTAACACGACAGGGTGACAGGGGCCAGGGAACGGGATGGAGGAGGCTGGGGGCCTCTCCCTTAGCTCTAAGGTGTGCTGGATGGTCAGGCCTTCCTCCCACTTGTCCTCTCTCTGTGGCCACCCTGGCCTCCTCCACTGAGCCTACAAATCCATCTTCTGAAAACCTCACCTCTTCCCTGATGCCTCTCACCCTGCTGTTCTCTCTTCTTCCCTGCACCACCACATTTGTCAAAGAACTGTGCTTCTCCATGGAAAGCCGTCCTTTGACGCTTATTGGCAAATTCCTACAAAGCCATCAGGTCCTGTTTAAGTGACACAGCTTCTGGGATGCTTGCCTGTCCCAGCGAGTGCTCATCCCCAGGGACTGGGGGCCACTGGTGATGGTTCTGTTCATTTTTCTATGTCTAGACTCTAGCAGCAGGACAGAAACAGTGCGCATGCTCTGTAACCCTGCAGCCCTGGCCAGTGGGGAACCCCAGAGCAGCAGCCTTGAGGCTCAATGCCAGCCATGCGGTGCTCAGGAAGCTCCGCAGACCTTCAGCTTCTGGCCTTTCCCGGGGTCAGGCAGCTGGGGTTTGATTCTAGAGCACAGAGATGCTGGGTATCCCGGAGAGACCATCATTTCTGATGAGGCCCTTGTCAAATGATCATCTAGGACACAAAAGAAGAGCAGGTGTGACCTACCTCTGCTCCCGGGTCACCCTTCTCCCCGGCTTCTCCTTTTTCACCCTGCAGGCACAAAACATCAGGGTGTGAGTCCTGGGGGCCTGGCACAGGCCCACCCCGAACATCTGCGACAAACTCGCCTGGCTCTACCCTCCGCATGGAAGCTATAGGCCGGTTTTGTGACAGACAGGTGCTGCAACCCTGACTCCAAGGACCTGAGGTCTAGCCTTGGGAGGGGCTGGTGCTCTGTATGGTCCCTGTGGTGACAGAGCCTGGGGTAGAGCTGTGACTTGTTTCTAAACCACGGAACAGGGCATGGGGCAAAGTTGATGGCTGTCGCTCCTGTGACTGTCACAAATCATCACATCCATGTTACACGAGCAAAAACATGTAATGTGTGCTAAGATTATGTTGCAAATATGTTGCATACACACGGCCCCACCTTGCCAGCACTGGGTACTTGGCCTTGAAGAAGTACGCTGAACTGCTTGCATGGGAAGGGCCAGGTGGCTGGGAATGGTAGGCGACCCCTAGGAGCCCAGGGACTCTCCTGCCATGGCAAGGAACTGCAATCTGTGAATAGCCGGGGAGCTGGTAAGAGAACTCCCAGCTCCAGATGAAGACACAGCTGGCCGGCACCTTGCCTGCAGCCCATGAGACCCGGGGCAGGGGGCCCAACCAGCACACGCCAGGGCCCTGACTTCCAATATGTGCTGTTTGAAGCTGCTACATTTGTGGAGACTTTTTATGCAGCAGTAGAAAACGAATATGGCTGCAGAGCCCAGAGCCTCGGGGTGGTCAAGGGGGAGGCTGATGGGGAAGCACCCCACCACGCCCGCGAGCGTCCCCTCCATCTTAGAGCTGCCTGCCATGGAACGGGAGCTGCCTGCCTGTTCTGGCACTGAGTCAGATGTGGGACTGGATGGCCCCTAAGGCTTTTCCCACTTCCAAGGCAGGGGCTCCAAGTCCAAGAGCGCAGCATTCTGGGGCCAGGTGGGCACCTGCAGACAGGTCACTGTGCGTGTGTGGGAGGAAGCTGGAACCCTGTGCGCATTCAAATGGAGGAGCTGTTATCTAGAGATCCCCAGGCTGGGCGGCAGGCTCAGGGTTCGTGCGGCCTTGTCATGGGATGTTAGGCTGGAGGCCTTGTGAGAAGCACTCTTGCTCCTGCACCTTCATCTGAAGCTGCCTGCCAACACCCCTGCTGCCCGGCCCTCTCGCCTTACTGTAAATCCTGGAAGCCCGATGGGGCCAGGCAATCCTGTTGCTCCGGGCCTCCCTTGGTCACCTGGTTCTCCTTTCTCCCCAGTTGGGCCGTCTAGACCCTACAGATCAACAAAGACCTCTGTTAGAGAAGCTCAAGGTCATGTGCCGAGTGTCTGTGACCCTATGGCACACACGCACGGCTGCCTTCCTCCATGGCTGGGGGTCTGGATGGTGCCTGTTTCATAGATGGAAACCATGAAAAGCCTCCCAGGTCAAGACAGCAGCCCAGCTGGAGTCGGCCAAGGCCCCTTTTACATACATGCAACCTCTCCTGGGGACAGGGTTTCTGCATGCTTTCCACACCCCTGACCATCTCTTTCCCCAGTGGCCCATGAGGTAGGTATACAAGGAAGGCATTTTTGTACCCATTTTAGAGATGAGGAAACTGAGACTCTGCAAGACTTAGGGACTTTCCCAAGGGTACAACAGGTGAAGACATAACAAGACTCAGTTCTCCCGAGTCAGAAAACTGTCCTTCATAAAGTGAGTGGCTTGAGGGAAACCACGTGAACACCTCTCACTCTCCCAAATCCTGGCCCTAGCTTTCCACCACAGGCAGCAGCTGGCATTGTGCAGAGCCAAAGTTGGGCATAAAGGTGGCACATGGACATGGACCAGCAGTCCTGCCACTCACCGGTGAGCCTGCTTGTCCAGTTTCCCCTTTTTCTCCGGGGCTCCCTGGGTATCCAATCTCTCCCTTCATTCCTGGAGGCCCATCCTTTCCTGGGGGTCCTTGGGGACCAGGGGGGCCTATGTCTCCTGGTTTGCCACGAGGTCCCTTTAGAAAATATCAATAGCACTTCTTAGGCACATTCATGGAGAAAAGAGAAGAGAGGGGGAAAGACAAGAAATGATAAGGATGTCTAGACCACAGGCTCTGTAAGCCCTGAGCACCCCTGGGCTCTTTGGTGCGTTGACTGGAGAAGACAAAGACATCCCACCCCAGGCTGGTCCTGCGGCCCCTCCGCCCGCTTTTCCCGGTCCCCACAGGTCTCACAGCTAGCCTGTTCCAGAGCCCTTCAGTGCCCAGAGTGAGCCTTGTCTGGAGATGGCTCTTCTTACCTTTTCCCCATCGTGTCCTGGAGGGCCTGGTAGTCCAATCTCCCCCTGTAGCCAGAACAACTAAGAGTGACTCTTGGAGTAGAGGCAGTAATAACTGTCACCTAGGCGGCACTTCCTGGGTGCAAGCAGCCTTCTCTGCACTTTCCCACAGAGCGCGAGCATTTTACTCCTCCTGCCGTCCTGAGAGGTAGGTGCCTTCACTGTCTCTGCTTTACAGACCAGAGCCCACAGCACCGCTGTGTAGGCCCACTGTTAGTGGCTGGGAACCAGGATCCCACCCTGCCACCTGGCTCCGTGGTACGTGTTTCAGCCACGACTGCAAGAGTGTGGTCTCTGTGAGCCCTGAGCATCCCCAGGCTCTGTCTCCTCCTGCCCTGCTCCTCCTGTCTCCTCTTTCACCAGCCCGAGCCCCTTCCTTAGGTCAGGGAGGCAGGAGTGGGACGCCTTGCAAAGCATGTTGGTGTTCCCGGGGAGCAGGGAGGGACAGCGGGCTCTGCCTGGTGGCTCAGGGGAGGTCTTGAATTGGGCTTGAAAGATGAGGAGTCTGGAAGGTAGGGAAGAGGGGAAGGCACTTGAAGGGCAGGGGCTCTCCCAGGCAGAGGGGCAAATATGGGGACAGAGGGGTGATCTTGCTGTGAAAAAGCACCAGGATGGGTGGGTGTATGGACCAAGGGAAAGCCATGGTTGGGGTGTGTGGGACTCAAATACCACCCTGCACAGGTGCAACTTGGTTTCCCAGTGGGTCTCGGGGTTCATCTCCAGGCTCCAGCACCCCAGAAGAAAGACCGCACATGGATGGCAAGGGAGGGCGGGTGCAACTGTGGTGGGTAGGGTGAGGGGGCTATGATGGGTGGCAGAGCCCATGTGCTCTGTGGCAGGAACTGCAGGCGGGAGCATGGCGGGCTCGGGAAGACGAGGGGTGGCCCTGGCATCATCGCTCAGGGATGCTGTGTCCTAACAGATCTTTACTCCCTGGTCAAGGCAAGTGTTACCTTCTGGCCTGGACTCCCTGGGGCTCCAGGTGGGCCGATTTGCCCGGGAAGACCAGGAGGTCCCTAGGAAAGAAAGGAGAGGAGACACATGGAAGAATTTTCCACCCAGGAGGCTGGCTGTCATCAGAGGGCTCTGTGAGGAGGCTGGCCGAAGGGAGGCTGGCTGACAGTTGTTTTCAATTATTTCCTCAGTGGTAGGAACACTTGGCTTTTTGCAAAGGAAATAACAAGGGGAACCTAGAATAGGAATAGAGAGCACCGAGTGTGTGGGTTGAAGAGGGTGGGCTAGAGCCATGTGAACAGCCTTCCCTCACTGTCCTTCTGGAAGTGTGACTCCACTTCATGAAGGTCCAGAAAAGACACACGAGGTCCACAGGGACAGAAAGCAGGTCCGTGGTGGCCTGAGGCTGGGGTGGTGTGGGATCGACTCCCTGGCGTTTATGAAAGAACTTTCTGCAGATACATGGCATTTGCATTTGTGAAACTCATCGAATTCTATACTTAAGGTGGGAACATTGTACTGTGAGCTGTACCCTAGATTGGTTTTAAAAGAAAAAAGTGTCTAGGAAAATTTTATTTCTAGTAGTTATTTCAAATGATGTATTTTAATGTCCCCTAACTAAAGCTCATTGATTTCAGAATTATCCAGTTAATATCAATCAAGGTTTGGGATGGGCTGTAAGTGGCATTTGATTCTGAGCTTGTGTCTGCGCACACAGTCACAAAAAATACCAGGTGACTTGAAATTCCTATAGTCTGAGGACTTCACGGTCTCACCTCCCTCTCCACCTTGGAAGTGAAACTAGGAGTGGTTACTTTAACTGTGAGTATTGCCTGAGAGCCCGTCACTGATAGCCATGTGTGCTAATCTCAGCTTGGAGTTCACTGGTTTTCCAAGCACACATAATGAGACGATTTCTAGGAAAGGGGACATGTGGAGGGTTGCTACTGGTTTTATAGAAAGGAGAAACGTCGGCACATGCTCCTGGATGCTGCTGCTTCCTTCACACAGCTGTGAGCAGAGCTCTAGTGACACAGTTACAGTGCCACCAGGGGACAGCTGTGTTGGTGAACAGCTAGGGCCTGGGTGCTCCAGAGGCCCAGCCCCTGCCCTGTCCCAGGCCAGCTCACCTTTGGCCCAGCTCTGCCCAGAAGCCTGGCGTGTGCTTCCTGGAGATGAGAACTCACGTGCTCGCTTCCCAGCTGCCCTCCCTGTGCCCAGCCCAGTGTCCCAGGAAAGCCAGGGAGGAGGAGGACTTACCATCAAGGCCAGTGTCCGGATCTCCTGAAAGCAACACCATGCAGTTAGCTGAAGGGTAGATCCAGAGCTATCTGGAAGGTCCCTTCTGCCCCACCATGGTCCCGTGAAGAGCACAGGCGGAGGCAGACCCCTTGGGTGGGCTCCATGGCTCCCAGCTTTATGCCACCCGCACCTCTCCCAGAGGTTTGTCACCTGGGCAGGGAACTCCCAGCATCTTATGCGCCCAATGCTGCTCCTAGTGGTGACAGCAAACGCTCTTCCCTTTTAGCAAAAAGGGAAGGAGGCAAACTCTTCTCCCACTAACCCCCTGCTCTGGGGCCTCTCCTGTTCTTTTCTGTTCTCCCAGAACCCAGACTTCCCACACCTGTCCTTAGAAAGACACAGTATAGCAAAGTACAGAACCACTCACAAAGTAGGTTAGCAGGATGGTTGTGGGCACCTTGTAAATGAATCCATGCACACAAATGGGTTCTTTTGCAGGAAGAGTTCTCAGTCTGGGGTGGCTTTGTCTCCTAGGGGACCTTTGCTCATGCCTGACCTTTGGTGGTCACAACTGCAGGTGGCGTGTTCCTGATAGCTAGTCAGGGGAGATGTTGCTAAACGTCCTGTAACACCCAGGACAGCTTCTCCATCCCACTGCCATAGTCATCAACCCTGGCTAAGGTTGGGACACTTTGCTTTAAAAAGTGGAGTTCACATGTACTTGAAATAGGGTAAAATTGACACTAAAGAGAGATAGATAGAAGACAGATTCTACCATGTGCAAAGAGAGTCACGTGTCCTGGGGAGCTGGAATACAGAGCTCTGGATGGACAGCTCCATACAGGGTGCCGGGATGCTTCCATTAGGGCCCAGAGTTATCCAGAGCCAGCCGAGCCCATCCAGGCCACTTGATGCCAAATAATGGGAAGCATTTGCCCGCATGCTGCACAGCAAGAGGCCAAAGGACAGCAGGAGCGGGTAAGCTCTTCCTGGAAGCTGCTCAATGGCCTGTTGAAGGTCAGGGCCGAGGTCCTCTAGAACCTTCAGATCTCCAGCCTTTGGGCTGCAGCCCACTCACCTGGAGAGCCTCACTGATGTTTCCATTGTAATCCACCATTTCTCCTTTCCCGGGTTCTCCCTTGGAGCCCTAGAAGGCAGATGAGATCTCAACCAGGGGCTGACCCAGAGGAATCAGAGGGTCTGCAGCCCACACGGGCTGGATAGACCTGCACCCAGGGTGATCTGGCGTGGCCACGGTGGACCTATCAGGCAGTCCAGAGGGTGCACAGGGACTACAGAACAGATAATAGCCTCTGTTTCAACAGTCAAGACAGGCAGGCCTAGAGAAGCTAGGTCCAATCACAGTGGCCATGCAGACCTCCCACCTGGGAGCAGCATACTCTTCCCCTCCCTGCCCTGCCCTCAAGACCCCAATGCTTTGCATTATGAGTCCAGAGGCACTAGAGATACATTTACCTTGGGGCCAGCTGGTCCCTGTTGTCCGGCTGCTCCTGGCTGCCCCTGTTGCATGACAAAATGAATGGAAAATGCTGAGAAAGCTGGGTGCAGGGGAATTTGACGGCCAGGTGTGTGTGAGGGGCCCTGCAGGGGGCCAGGAGGCTCATCTTGACACAGGCCACCGGGAGGCAGATGCCTCTGGGTGTTAAAGGGCAAGTTCTGGCCCTTCAGGAACTGTCCCTGAACCCCTGTCCTACCCGTCTCTTCCTCTGAGTTCCTCCCGCTTGGCACTTGATGGTATTCTCTCTGTCCACATCAGTTATTGGTAACACCCCTTTGTCCGTCAGGCTGCCTCTCCCAAGTCCCCCCAGTCAGCTACTCGCTTGGGAGCAGGAGCCCTGCCCTTTGTTTCTCTTGATTTCCATTCTGCACAGGTGGCAAAGGCTCAGCCACTTTTTTGCCCATTGCCTGGGTACAAAATGATGGTGCCCTGAGAGCCTGTCTGGTCTTTCAGGGACCACTTTGCTTGTGAAACAGCCAAAATGCAGGATGAATCGCGGGGGTCAAGGAAGTCAGGCGGATACAGGTGTAGGGACACCGACCTTCCATAGTAGGCTGGGGCTAAGGGATTGTTTGTGTTGGAAGGAGCAGGGCAGAGCAATGGGGAGTAGATGTCAACTGCGATAAACAAACCACTGGCCTAATTTTCCAGAGATAATGTTAATATTAAGGGAAAAAATCAAGATAGAAAGACAAGACACAGGAGAAGGAGCCTTTGGTCTATTTCAAGTCTGATGACTTGCTCTACAGGCAGGCAGTTGGTGGAGTATGCAGCCATTGCCACCTCCAGGGGAGCTGTCCCCTACCTACCTGTCTCCCCTTGAGGGACGCAAGCCTTTCACAGGGAGTAGCTGGAAGGCTGGGAGAGCCCTGACTAGACGTGTGGCTTGGGGAACTGCCAGAAGCTGGAGCTTGGTGTCACTCGCTAACCTAAGTGTCCCAACCCTGGGCTGCCTTTTCTACAACTGCTATTCCCGTGGATGGTGGCGAGCATCAAGCCAACCAGAAGGAAGCCAGGGTCATGGTCCATCCGCTTTGTGCCCTGGAGTCCAGCCCTACGGTCCAGTCTAGAGACAGCCTGTTTCTCTCAGTGGACCCTCATCCTGCAGCTGGTGGATATGTGGAGGGGAAGTCCATACCTTGGCTCCTTGCTGTCCTGGGGGGCCAACCTGGCCATCAACACCTGCTTCTCCCTGGGGAAGAAGACACATGGTGTGAGGGGTAAAAGGTGGTCTTGCTGCTCCTGTTCTGGATTTAGTCTTTGGCCTCTCTTTCCCCACTGGCTTCCACTAACTCTCACCCAGCTGCCTTGGATCCCTTGACCGGCCCGGCCTGGTTGCACCTCCTTTGGAGGCCTTTCCTGCCTACTCTCTTGCTCCTGCGAATTCTGTGCGGTTTACTGGTGTCTAGATGCCCTGCCAAGGCTCTCTTGGTTCTTGGTTAGTATACATGGGACCAGTTGCAGCCCCTGACTGGACCTGGGACACTTGGGAAGGCACAACTCCTCGGGTCCTGCCTGGGTGACGGAGGGGCACATGAGGGCCCTGAGCATCAGGGGAGGCGACTCCAGGAACTCCAGGATGGAAGATAGGGAGAGAGGTGGGCAGGAGGGGCTTGGTCCAAATACTTCACTTACAGACATTTTGTCTGGACCTGGAAAGCGGACCAGAGTTTGGGGACACAGCCTTCTAGCTTCCCCTTGCCTTCCTTTGTCCCAGCATGCAGCGAAGTGGTGGAAAGCTCCCCAGCTCCCAGTTGAGCCCCAAGCCGTGGCAGGCCCCATAGCCTGGCTCAGTGGGTCAGTGCTGGGGCCTGGTGGCAGGGCTGCGTGGGTGAAGACGCTGCTCGGCTGGAAGATCTGCTCAGCCACAGTCAAGGTGGCAGGTGGACTTGTCTAGCAGTCCTGCTTGCCACTTCACCTGCCTGCCTCTGCGGGATCCTATGGCTCCCTGCGCTCTAGACTGTGAGTTGTGGGTTTGCTTCTCCTGGTAGATCGTGAATGAGGCGAAGGCAGGTTCTCTGCAGCCCTACTCGCCGTACAGGGCTCTGGATACACGCTGGCGGGGTGAACGAGTGCACTGCCTCAACTGCAACTCATCTTGAGCAGGAGAGTGGGGGCTTCCCAGTTATGCCAAGGCCCTGTGGCCAGCAGTCCCTGACTGAGGTCTATCTTAGCCATCTGAACCCCAGGGGAGACATAGCTCCTGGAAGGTTGGTTACCTGCTTAGAAGCAGGAACTTGGTCCATGTGATCTTTCCTGAATCCACTGGGAAAATTACACACTTGGGGCGGGAGAAGGACAGAGAAGTCGCAGTGTCTAGGACACAGAGATCCTGAGAATGGGCTGAAGACAACCCCTTTGACCCGATTCCAGGAAAGACTCACCTTTGGGCCAGGGGGTCCTGGGAGCCCTGGAGGGCCTGGCTCCCCCCTGCCTCCTCCAATGGAGTTGCCAGTGTCACCCTTCTCTCCCTGAGGGGGAAGGCAGAGTCAGGTCACAGGCTGCTGCTGCTCTTGGAGCGGTTGACACCTCGCCTGCTGTCTCCTCCAGTTCAAAAGAGCAGAGAAGCTGGGTGCCCAAGGGACACTAAAGGCCTGGGGGCTCCCAACAGAGGTCTTCAGATCCCACCTAGCCTGACCTGGCTGTGGGATTGAGGGGAGCATAACACTGATGACTTTGGAGGGGACAGGTTTAGTGATAAAATGAGGGATCTGCCAGCAGCACTGGGGCTTGCGTGGTGTTTCCCAAAGTGTGTTCTGTGGAACACTCCCCAGAGGCTTGGGAATATTTGAGATGTGATAAAAGGATGTGGTGGCTAAACAGTGTTGAGAACTGCAGAGTGACATGGAGCTTTGTCAGTGCCTCCACTGCAGTGTGCTCAGAGCCTCCAGCAGGCTGGGGAGCAACGCGACTTCCAAGGGGCCTATCTTATGCAACCTTCCCCAGTCTTATTTAACCTCAAGTCTTTTTAAAATGGCTTCATTTTTAAAATGTCTTTAAATGAAGTATCTTTCAGGGCTTGTGACTGGGGACAGGTTTTCAGAGTATTTGTAAAGAAATCCAACCGGGTCATAGCTACCAGGTTCTTTGAAGTAGGGCATATTTTAGCTATGTCCCTCCCCCAAACCGGAATCTGGCTGTGGTCCAGCCACCCTTTCCCCCCTTCTGAGAGATGGACACCTCCAATGCTGGGGCCTGAGGGAATGCGTGGGGCTGGGGAGGACACAGAGGTCTTAGAGGGAGCCAGCATTCCGAGCTCACTCATACCTACCTTCTGTCCCAGGAGGCCGGGGACGCCAGGGGAGCCGGCAGCCCCCTTCTCACCCTGTGGGGAGAGGCAGATGGCAGAGGTTAGGAGTTGTTTCTCCAGGATGTCTTTGCTTCCCTCCTGCCTGTCTACCTTCCCCTCCACAGGTGATCCACTTCCTCCCAGACCCCACCCAGACTGGGCCCTTCCCCAGGCCACTGCACCTGGTGACAGCCTGGATCACTGCTCCCCATAGGACCTTGTCCCGCATCACTCAGGGCAGCGAGTAACGCTGGCCACAGATCACCACTGAGGCCAGCAGCAGTTAGACCTTTCTGGGGTCCCCAGGATGGATGAGATATTCAGAAAGCCAGTACTTGGGGGAGCGCTTCCTTCCTTGGAAACCTTCCCACACCCTCATTGTCCAGCCTAGAGCCCCCCATCTTCTCTGCTCACCTCCTCCTGTCTCTGGGGGAAGACCATCTCCCAGAACCTTGCCTTTCAAGGACTATTTTGGGAAGTTTATTTCCTGTTATGGATTGAACCGTGCTCCCCAAATTCAAATGCTGAGTCCTACCTCCTTGTTCCTCAGAATGGTGCCTTATTTGGGAAGCATGTCACTACAGGTATAATTAGTTAAGGCGAGGTCCTATTGGACCTGCTGGGGCAGACCTCTGCAATGTGTTGGTTTCCTTATAAACAGGGGAGTTGGACACACACAGGGCAAGTGCCATGTGAGGATGGAGGAGAGGTGGGGAGATAGTCCAAGCCACCAGTGGACAGAGGGGAGACAGGAGCAGATGCTTCCTCGTAACCCTCAGGAGCAGCCTGCCCTGCCCACACCTGGGTTTGACTTTTGGCCTCTAGAACCAGGAGCAAACAGTTCTACTGCAGTCTCTGATGTGGCAGTTCCCTCACTAGCTTTGTCCACTATTGAAGAACGCTTTGATTTCCCCTAGGCGTGACTCACAGAGTACTTTAGAGACAAAATGAACCCTGGTTTCTTTTCACGGATGAAGCCAGCCAGGCCCCAGGAGGGTGTGTTCCTGGGGACAGTTTCCCCCGAGTGTGTGGGGTCTCCTCCAGCCTCAGGTCTCCTGAGGTTCTCTTTCCTGGGTGAGTCTGTTCTGGTGTCAGGACAAAACACCGCAGCCCGGGGCCTGCATGGCATCAGTCTCTCTTCCTACAGTTCTGAGGCTGGAAGTCTGGGATCAGATGCCAGAAGGGCCATGTTCTGGCGATGCCCTCCTTCTGGCTTACAGATGGCTGTGTTCTTGCTGTGTCCTCACACAAGAGAGAAAGATGTCTCTTCCTCTTTTTATAGGGCCCCCAACCCCATTGGATGAGGGGCTCACCCTTACAACTTCATGTCACCTTCATTACCTTCTACAACCCTATCATCTAACACAGTCACCTTGAAGTTTAGGGCTTCAGTCCATATCCGTGCCCACTGTCAGGTGAGCCCCTGAGTGTCCCCAGTGGGGGCTTAGTGAGGATCAGCATAGGAAGAGCCTGTTTTCCTGGCACCGGGGAACGATGGTTCCAGAGGCAACAACGTGAAGCGGGGGCCCTGGGGCCATCATGTGGTCTGCGGGCCCAATGAACTTTCCAGCTGGAGCCCCAAAAGATGACATGGAAAGTCTCCAAGTGTCATGCCCTTAGGTACAGGCTGGGTGGGAAAATGCAAGCAGCCAAGAGGGCTTGAGGAGAGGCGGCCAGGGCCCGGGAGATGGGAGGGGAGTGAATACTGAGGAGGCCCCAGCTGCCTGGCCCTGCCTGGGCTGCTCCTGGGCTGCTCCTGGGCGGTGACCCAGCCTGAGTGTCCCTGCTAAAACAGGCCAGTCTACAGGGAAAGGCCACAGGTCCTGGCCTGCAGTGAACCACCACGCGCAGGAACACAGCAGGCAGGTCCCCAAAAGGGGCGGCGTGCTCTGAGCACGGATGCGTCAGCTTTGCTGGCCCAGCTTGCCTCCTCTGTTCCTGGCATGCATGCACCCACAGCACACAGCAGCCAGCACACCCACCGCGGAGGTGTGGAAGGGGAAAGGGGATACTCAGATAATGCTGTCCTACCCTGTGCCCCTCTTTCCCAGCAAACCTGAGGGCCCTGGCTTCCCTGCTGTAAGAAGAGAAAGTCACTGATAAGAGGATAGGGTAGGGTGAGGTGGATGGGCAGTGATCAGAGACCAGAGATCCCAGAATACTGTGCCCTTGAGCTCCTCCTCGTAAATCAAGGATGCACTGGGCAGAAAAGCTTTGCTAATGTTGCCTAAGACGCTGCCTTTTTAGGGTTTCCCAGTGGATGGTTAGCATCTTAAAGGCTCTGAGAAGGCCCGCAGCCAAGAAACCTGTGTAATATTGTTAACCCAGTGTTTCTCAAACTTAATTGGCCATGGAAATATTTTTTCATATTACATCTCTTATTGTCTTAGACAAGAATGAAAGAGAGTCCTGCAGGTACAGGGGGTGAGGGGGCAGCAGTCACTGCCTCCTGCAGCTGGTGAGCTACAGGTCAGGCTTCAGGAAAGAGAATGCCACCGGCAATGTGCTCCTGACAAGTGAGTGGCTCAACCGGGTCCAGGCTGGTCTCAGGGTGACCAAGAGCAAAACACAGAAGCCCCTCTGCCTCACCCCACCTCCCCTGTGAGTGTACCATGTGGCCCAGGGCATACCCTATGCATCCATACCTTGGCTCCTGGGGTCCCCGGCTCACCCTGTGTAGACAAAAGGAAGATTCAAGAAAAGAAATGTGTGAGAGAAAACGCAGGAACAAATGAGCAAAGGGGTCCTATGCAAGGGTGTTGGCGAAGTATCTGGCCAGCCTGGCTTTCCTCTGCTAGGCAGAGGCCTCCTGGGCCACTACCTTTACAGGGCCCTCGTCTTCCTTTAGGTGTGGGTTGTGGCAGGTGGAACCTTTGTGGGGTAACCCAGGAGGGAGGAGGGGGAAGGAGCCTGTGGTTTGGACATGGTGCCCCCACAAACACACCTACTGCAGAGGTCAGTGCTTTTCTAGGGTGCCCCACCTGCCTCCCAGGTGAATGAGTGTTGGGGTGGGAGTTCAGGGGAAAGACCCTTTCTGTTGTCCCCTGTTGCAGTTTGGAAGCATGTGGTTGCTGAGTTCCAGAGCACACAGGAAAGAGCTGGCTTCTGGGTGCCTGCTGGCAGGCTAGGGAAGCACCTAGCCCCGGCTGGTAAGTCTTTGCCCCTTGCTTGCAAGGCTTAATTGAACATCTGTCTGTAGGTTGTGCGTCTGGCATGTGCAAAGTGCTTTCGAATCTTGTGTGTCTTCTGCTTGGCCCAGCAGCCATACCACTGCGCCCCTGCTGTCCCTTCCTGTCTTGGGCACCAGTTTGCCCATCCTGCCCTGATGGGTGGAGTCACAACTTCTACTGACCTTCATCCCAGCCATGGTGGTCCCAGGAGCCCCCTGGCAGGGAAAGAAAAAGGCATGAAGGCTTTTTGCAGTCATGGGCAGCATGGACAAGGTGGGACAGGAGGAGGACGGTCACTTCTACTGGCTCCTGGGGGTGGGGAGAGCCCAGTGCTGAGCTTGGCACCCCGGGAGGGCATCTGGGGATGAGGCATGGGGTAGCCGAGCTGCTGGGGTTCCTAGGAGGCATACTAGGGTGGTACTACCACAGGGTAGCAGCTGGACTAGAGGGGGTATCCCTGGGTGTCGGGAGCAACAAAAGAGGAAGGAGAGATGGGGGTTGGGCAGTCGAATGAGGGTGGGGAGAATGGCGAACCACACTAGATAAAGGAGCTGGCGTTGCCAAGTGTAGTCAGCCCCGAGCGTGTATGGAGGGGGACCTCACCCATGCTTCTCTGGACTGCTGCCCTCATGGACTGGAGGTGGCTGGGAGTGAACCCTGTTTCCACAGTGGCCCAAGACCACCTACTCTGAAGCGAGTTGTTGCCCCAAGTGCTACTCAGCAAATTCAAAGTGGAGGTGATCTTTTTGGTTCCCTACTCCCCATTTGGGTCTCAGGACTGCGGCCGGTGCTGAGTTACCTGAGAAAGGTTTTATGACTCAGACACCCCAGAGGAGGCCTGGTCCAGTCAGGAAGGTGCTGGGGATAGATGGAGGCCAGGTAAACTCGGCAGAGGGGAGGGTAGAGGGAATGTGCACCTCATATTTACAGCAAGGCACAAGCAGGACAGGGCTCAAGGAGGAGCTGTGACTCCAGGGGTTCCCCAGAGCATGGGAGAGGGGCTGGTTGTGGGGGGCGTGGCTCGGGGTGCGTGAACGGTAGATACCTTGGCTCCATTCTTGCCCGGCATCCCTGGCATGCCCCGCTCTCCCTGCAGGAAGGAATAAGAGAGGCTGTGAGAACAGGGCCAGACTCGGCCCGTGGCCTGCAAGGACGTCAGTGAGAATGCTTGCCTGGTTGCTGCATGGCTATCCAGCTCCCACCAGCTCTGAGGACCTTGCTGTGGCCATAGCCATGTGGGCCACGCCCCTGCATGACACCAAGTCACAGATTCAGAGCAGGAAGGGCCCTCAGAGACAGAGGCCACCCAATGGAATCCAAGTGCAGCGAGGAAGGTGACATGCTCAAGACCCACTGCCACTCGGTGGCCCGCTGAGCCTGGATCTCAGTGCGATGGGGCAGGGCGATGGGCAGGAGCAGCCCACGTGGCTGCGGACTACTACATCCCTGCCCCCGCCCCTGCCCGGTACTTCGTGTCCCTTTTTCTCTGCAGCAGGTGTGCTAGGACGGTGCCTGCTGACTAAGCGACAGGGGCACCCCTTTCTCTTCATCCTGGGCCTAACTCTCCTGAGGCCTGTGGACCTGGGCCTGCACGTGTCCACTTCTCTCTACCCCTTCCTGGCCATGCCCGTCCCGAGGCACCAGGCCATCTGTGGCCTCTCTGGGGTGTCATGAGCTTTGCTCTGCCATCTCAGCCCGGCTCCTCCTTACGTTCGACCTCTTTATCTCCCGGTGACAACGCTGCATTGATGGGCTGGGTGAAGCTGGAAAGACGGACACACCACCGGGAGATGGAGATGACAGGCGGTGACAAATGTGCCAAGGGTAGATGTGCCGAGACTTTAACCAGCCACATCAGGGGAGGAAGGAGGGCAGAGCCTGTCTTCAGGAGCTGCAGCCCACAGGGAACCCCAGCGGGAAGCTGCAGCCAGGCCCATGGTGCTGTCCAGCAAAGGTGACGGCTGCCAGCCTGCTGCAGCTTTGCCATCTGAAGGTTGGGGCTGCGCATGGGTCACACAGAGCCTTGCCAGGCCTGCTCCTAGGAAGCTGCCCTACAAGGTCTGAGTGTTGGACCTGTGGACCAGGCTGGCATTCACAGGCTGTGGGGCACAGGGGCACCTGGCCCCACATGTTCGGGTGTCTGCTCCCTCTTCCCTGCCATCTTACAGGCAGTCCTGGTCCTCCTTCATCCTGCTGCAGACTAGAGTGACTTCTGCCCTCTTCCTCAGTGATAGGTCCTGGGCTGGCATCCAGGCAAGCTTCCAAAACATGGGCTGGGCGAGGCACCTCCACTGCCCGTAGTCTCTTCTGTTGGGCACTGACCTTAGGAAAAGGGCCAGGTTCCTGGGCATGGCGTTCTGACACCCACTCCCTTCCTCACCTCTTCACCTCTCATTCTGGGCTACATCAACTATTATCTGTGTCCCTGAAAACACAGTCACACTTTCTGCCATTCCCTCAACAGAAGCCCCTATGTATTGTTCAGGATCTGGACAAGTATCGGCCCTCTGTGCAGCCCTTTGCCATCCCCACGGCTCACTGCTGGCTGCAGTGCCTCAGGGACCATGCTGCACGCACAGATGGACATCTGCCTGTCAACTTCAGCTTCATGCTCTTTGGAATTCTGCAGAAGGCCAGCATCTTTAGCTCCAAATGCCAAACTCCTTTTTTACCCCTGACAGTGACCCCTCAGCACAGGTGGGGAGGTGACCTCAGGAAGTGACCACAGCCATTAAACTGATGCCCCATTCATTAAGTTCCCTCTTGTGGAAAGAGCAGAGAAAGGCGCAGCCCTGACTGCAATGCTCTGCATGTGATGCTCGCCTTCCAAGCCTCCCCTCCAGCTCCAAGGGGCCTTCTCATGCAGGCAGATGTGCCTCCTGTCTCTCTGCTAGGCAGTGGCTCAGGGAGGCCAGGGATGGCTGCCAGGGTTGTGTAGAGCAAGGCTTTGAACACTGCTTTGCTCTCTCCCCATGTCCAGGTGCTGGTGCCCTGTGGCCACCCCGACATCAGGTGATCTGATGTTCTGTCCACTTCCCTCAGATAGTTGCTGCAGGCTGCTCTCTCTCTGCTGGGTCCCCAGGTCTGTGTCAGTGGGGTGAAAGCAGTTCAGCCTGGGGTCTTGGAAACACCAGGAGGTGGGGCTCCTGCATGTGCAGGGCTGCTCCGTGGCCAGCAGAGGGTGCAACAGGCCCTCATCTGAAGTCTGCCATTCTTGCCACAGTTGTCCAAGTCCCCTCTGGAGCGCCAGCTTCCCTTTGGAGGGCCAGGGTCTTCTGCTAACATTCTGAGTGACTCCACCAGGTTGACTCAGCCAGGAGGCCCCAGAGAGAGCCCCTGGTAGGGGGTGCGGTGGAAGATCAGCTTGGAAATACCCGCTGTTCAGAGCCTGTCCACTGTCCCTCTTCCTCTCTCTTTTCCTCAGTTTCCCCCTGCCCCCTCCTCCTTTTTCCATGGCCCTCGGGGCATCTGTGTGTCCACTTTCCCTCTGTGGGTCTAGGCTCCTGGCTTGCACAATGAGATTAGACCGGATGCCTGCTGCCCACCTCTACCCAGCAGCCTGTAGGAGGCAGGGAACCATAGCTGGAGGGCAATGCTTGTTCTGTTGGTAGCTTCTTGGGGGAGGGGCTCAGTACTGGATGAAATACAGGTCCAGGAGGGGCAGTGGGGCCCCACTCTCCCCTCCTCCCACCCGCAGAGGGACAGTCTAGCCAGGGAGGAAGCTAGGCTTCTGTCTCACACACATCTTGGAAGAGACTGTGCCTCCCGGGCAGCAGCCCTGCTCATTAGGGTGGTGACCTCTGCCCCTCCCCTCGAGGTCAAGTCTCTCCATTCTGCACATGACCCAGGCTCCCTTGATCCCCTCGTCAGGGCAGGAAGCAGAGGTGCCCTGCTGACCCCTTGTAGCTCACCCTACTCTCATTAGTCTCGCTGCTCAGGGCCCCAGTCTGTGGGCTGGCCCCTGAGGTGGGGGTCTGGGCTTCCCCCAGACCAGGAAACACTGCTTCCTGGATGGTGCGTGAGGGCAGACAGGGCCAGTCATCCTCCAGGAGCCAGGGTGCTGTGACAAGGGCACATCTGCAGGGGACAGGCTGCTGCTGAAGGACAGCGACTGTTCATAGTGTGGTTCCTTGGGGCACGTCTTTATGAGATCTGCTACCCAGCACCTCCTCTTCCAGCTCTCTTAAGATTTCCTACTTCAAGGATGTAGGCTGGGAAGTGCTTGGTTCAGATCTGCTCACTCACGTCTGTGCTTATCTTCAGGGGACTGGTCTGCCAGTCTTTCCAAGCCCAAGGGCCTCCCTTCCTCTCTACCTCCGCCTTCCTTGTCTTCCCAGCGGGGAAGCTCAGCCACCAGTCTGGGCTACCCTGTGGCTGGGGAATTTGGTGCTCCAAGCGTGCAAAGGGCCCTGCCACCCCTCTGGGAGGCTGGCTCTTTAACTTTGATGTCAAGAACTGATGCCTGGAGGGATGGTTTGTAGTCACTGTAGTTAAGAAGGTCAGGGGAACACGGTGGGTAGGGAGGGTTTGCCTGAAATGGCCTGGAGGGCCTGTCCCTGCTCCTGCCTAAGAACTGCAGCTCAGACTCCCCAAGGCCCAGCATCACTGTGTCCTCTTCTCTGCACAGGCTCCAGGTGGGAGGGCCTGTCCGTGGAGAGGACAGGATGGAGCAGGCTGTATTGGGTTGTGTGCAAGTGGCCTCTTACACCGTGATTTACTTTTTGTTGAACAAGCTGGGCAGGAACTTGGCAAGAAGAGGGTGTAGAGGGAGGTGGGGGAACTTTAAGTTCATTCAGCTCCCCAGCCAGTAAAGGTCAGGTAGAGACTCAGGAGATGAATGGATCTCCCCGACAGGAGGCTGTGGGGAGGGGTTGTTCTGGGCAGAAGGCAAGGCACACAGAGCCTTTGTTCTCTGCAGGGGAGGAGGAAGGCCATCTGAGAGTGGGGAGTGGTCCAGGGCCCTGTCCTGGACTGGAGAAACTAGTGGGGTGGATGGGTGGGGTCATGCCTTTCTTCCCTCTAAAGAGTTCCCAGGCCATCCTTCCTGGAAAAGGCCCCGTAGTTCCTGCTTCCCTGCCCCAGCGGGTCTCCAGGCCAGAGAGGACCGGAACCACGGAAATCCTAGGTCCCCTGTGCTCCGGTAATTAGGGCCGGCAGGAAGTGATCTGGGGAATTACCGGGGTCGGGTGCCCTATTGAAGGGCAGGGCTTTGGAAGGGCGGCTGGCTTCTAATCTCAATTTGCGATCGGTTGATTTTGTAGTTAGTTCCAAAAAGAAAAAGTCAGCTCTAATTAATCTGTAGACTTTGGAGTGCAGGAGAAACGGCCTGGAGAGTACAGGGCTGGGGCTCCAGCCCCTGTGAGGCCTCAGATCTGGGGCCTGTGTCTCAGTTTTTTGATCTGCTTTCATTTAAATGGTCTGGATGTCCCCACTGGGATTTCATGGCTTTGAAAGAAAATGCTGTCCCCACACCCACAGGCTCCCACCGGCATGGAGCCCTCTGATGTATGGGAAGAGGCCTGGGGTCACTAGGGCCCTCTGGGAGCACGGAGTGAGGGAAGCTTTCTGGAACAGATGTCACCAAGGTCGAGACACGCTGCCCTGGCTGTATCAGGAGTCAGGGACCACCCCAACTCTCTGGGGACTCAGCTGAGTCAGTGCTAATGGGCAAAGCACTGCCCTGACTCTTCCCTTCACCTACACAAGGCACCAGATCCTCTGCCACCAACCCTCCAGCTACCTGCTGAGAGCCAGGAGGCTCCAGGCAGGACCTGAATCCAGCCACACCTTTTCTCACCAGGGAGGAAACAACTTAGTTTCCATCTCCCTGCCTTCCTGGGGAAAGGCTAAGTCATGGGGTCCCTGGGTGCCCGCTGAGACAGGTAGTAAAGCCCTTCCAAGCAAGGCTGTGAGCCAGAGAGACCCAGCTCCATGACTTCCTAGCTGCAGATGGTGGAGGAGCTTCTGTGAGTCTCATTTTGCTCATCTATGAACTGGGACTAGAGTAATGCATGTCTCTGAGGCTATCACAGGGAGGCAGTCAAATGGTGCACATGGAGTGCTGGGTACCCAACCTGGCACGTGGAAGAGGCTCAGAGAGGGAGTTATAACAATGCTGGTTATCATTCTATAGACTCATATGCACTGTATACACTTTTACTGACTGGCAGGTCAGAATCGGCATACCCTTTAGTAGAAGGAGTAAGGAAGCACCCATGGGATCTCTTCTGCTGGGTGTCCTTATCTCTGGGAAGAGACAAGGCCTCTTGGAGGGCAAGGCCTCTAGGAGGAGTAATTACAGTTGTGAGTGGCTGTGGCATGAGGTCTTGGTGTCACTCCTCCTCTGGTCTAAAATTGCCTGGCTTGTGGCCTGGAGGAAGGAATGTAAGCCTCAGGCAGGTCCTTCATGTAAACTCTGAGGCACAGCACCCAGACCACACTGTCAGGCATGCCCCCACGGTGAGATAAGTACTGTACCAGCTCTGATGCACTTAGAAATAAGCTCCTATGGGGTTTGTGACCCACATCCATCTGACAATGCTCATCAATCCTCTTGACAGAGAGCCAAGGTTGTAAACACACTTTGCATCTTGCAACATATTTAAAGTAGATCTGTCCCATAAATCAAATAGGTACCATATGGGTGCACAATAATACTAGCAGTGTCTAGGCAGGAGGTCCGGCCCAGGGCGGGCGTGGGGGCCATATGAGGGCTGCTGGCCACACTGGGGTTTGATCTTAAAGAGCCAGTGGAGAAGCTGGCCTTGCTGGCCTTTGAGATGACACTAGGCTCAGTCCAGTGGACGGAACTTATAATTAGCAAACTTCACAGGCTGAGAAGCTAAACTTTACCTTGCGCTGCAAGAAAGACCTCCTGGTGTATAGCAAGTTTCTGGGACAGAACAGGTGAAGCTTGCAGACAGCCCATCTGCCCCACCCCCTGCTAGTCCTTTCCCACCCTGACCGTGGGGTGAGGGTCACCCTGCTCAGCTCCATGTTCCCTACTGCCAGAGCTACTTTGCCCGGGGGCGGGGAACAGACCCATCCTCCTAGCACCTGTGACCAAGCACCCTCCATGTGAGTGTCTCCTCCTCATGCCCTATTCCAGAGAGCAGAAAGGGCAGTGCAAAGAAAGGGAGAGTGCTGGGCAAAGGAAGGGAGTTGGGGATCAGCCTCCGCAGCCTAGAGAAATCTCAGGGAAGGCTGGCTAAGTCAGTCTGCTGCTGGCCTTGGATTTATGAGATCAGGTTGCTAATTCTAGCATGGCTGTTCACCAGCTGGGCAACTTTGGGCAAAGTAATAACCTCTCTGGGCTTCTCATCTGTACCATGGGGTTGATGAGCTCCAATTACTGGGCACAGCAGGGGCTGAATGAGACAGGGAGTGACTGAATTTAGGCTGACATGGAGAGGTGAAGTATTGCTGCATGAGTTTTTGGGCATCAAAGAAAAAGTCTCTTCATCCTAGGATGCTGAGGGGATGCAAACATCTGCCTTGGCATGGTGATCACTGAGGCCAACATGTCCACTCCCATGGGGTTGGGGCAGCAGAATATGCACTTGGAGTGTCCTGAGGAATGGCCTGGTTCTTGGGGGTGGAGCTGTGCTGTTAGCCATCAGGTCCCAGGGCCCTCCAGCTGCTGTGGACCAGAAGGTACTGGGACACTGGTGACAGGACGAGGGTCCCAGCAGAGTGAGGGCTGGCACAGACTTGAAGGTGCTGAGACCACCTGCAGCCCAGCTGGCTGTATGAGGCTAATGGCTGGGGGGAGTGGAGCCTGCAGGAGCCTTTCAAAGACCCAGAGAGGCAGGGAGGCGAGTCAGGGCCGCAGCCCCACCAGGTGGCTGTGAGAAGAGGCCATCGTGCAAGGGCAGAACTGGGTACTACGGCAGAGAAAGAAGGCATAGGGCATGAAGAGAAAGGGCCCTAGGACGGGATGACTCTGACAGCCCTGCATGTGGGTTAAAAGTCTTGCTCAGAGGATCGAGGAAATCAAATTTCCTACCACAACCAGGGGGTTGCTCCTCTAGAGAATGTTCAGCCGATCTGTGCCCAGGAAGCTGTGGGTCTCTGAGCTGGAAGGGACTATCAGCAGCCTCCAGCCTAATATAGAAGCTTCTCTTCACAGAGCCCAAAATGCTGGTTCCTCTACCTGCAATGCCGTTAGGAAGCTCCTCCAGTGGACCTGGAATTGCTATGCTTGGAGAGTGACCCGGTGGCACTTGCTCCACTGCTCAGTCACAAGAAAGAAGCATGGCCCTGCCTTTCACTCCAGAGCAAGTGACACCCTCAGCAGCCTCCCTTTCCTCCCAGAACAAAAGGAGCTGTGGGAGGCTTGGTCTGGGGCTTGGCTTCCTGGGGCCAGGAGCTGCTTCTCCACCTGCAGGACTGTACTTGTTTCTCTGCACACCTGACACAGCCTGGGTGGAACGATTGTTGCTACAGTCTGCACCTATGATTGTCACTTCACTGGCCCAGACTCCCTAGCATCATGATGCTGGAGACGCCAGTGGAAGCTTCTCCATCCTAAGGACAACCTTTTAGAGGAATCAGATTTCCTGTTTGCAGTAGATGCAGAACCTGTCATGGTACGATGCCAGCTGAGGGCATTGCCATGACCTCCAGGGCCTCTCTACTGGCTCCAGCCTTGTCACTGCCTGAAAGAGCTGGTCCAGCTGCTAATGGGAAAACCGACCCTGCACTACACCAGGAGGCAGTAAATTTTGTGAGTCTGCATGAATGGATAGAGGCAACCGCGGGGGCTATAATTTCTACTTCCTGACGCAGTGCAAACTTCTCAGTTTATGCAGAACTAATTAAAGATCTCTCAGGTCTCGCCATTTCACCCTCCAAGCACCCATAAAACAAAGTGGCGACAGCCGCTGCCCAACTGCAGCGTGCAAGGACTGCATCTGAGTGTTGGGAGGTGCTCTTCGTCCTGGCTCGCCTTCCCCTCTCCGTGCCTCTCCTCCCTACCACTTTCCTCCTCCAGAAGCTCTGGAGGCTTCCCTAGCTAGCGATGGAGGGCTAGGATGGGCCTTCCAGCAGGTGGAACCACAGGAAGGACCCAGATGCAACTTGAATTCTGGTGCTGCTATTCCAAGCAAGATTTGAGTAAGCCTCTGTTTTTCCCTTTACTGAATAAACAGGAAGAGAGTCACACCTGCCTCAGGGTGGTTTGGGGTTAGAGAGAATGCAGGTCATGTTGAAGGGTGGTGATCGGCATGTAGCAGGTTCCCAGGAAGTAGTGACTACTACTCTGTGGTTCTAGTTATTGTAATGACTGCATCTGGGCCTTTGCTCAAATTGTTTCGCTGTCTAAAATACCACTTTCTTTTAAATTTACCAGCTGAAGGACTGCAGCGGTGGATTAAAAATGGACACAAGTGTTTTGCTACCCCTTGGATCAAGCAGTGAAGACCAATCCTTTCCCATGCTGATGCTTGGGACTCGGTCACATGACTTGCTTTGACCATCAGGACAACCTGAGGCAAACGGATGCTAGGGAAGTGCTTATGTCCTGGGGCTGACCTAATGTGCACACTGCCCTGGCTCGCCATGCCGTGAGGTAGTTTATGTGGCCTACTAGAGGATGAGTGGTCACAGGGAGGAAAACAGTGGCCCCCAGCTCCAAGCCAGCACTGACTGCTAGACAAATGCACAGGTGCCAGGCTGGCTTGGCCCTCAGCTGTCATTTGATAGCACAGGGAATCAGGGTGAGACTGGAGGAACTCTCAGTTCTTCAGTCCACAGAATCAGAAAGAATGAAGCCAGCAAGTCTGGGATAGCTTGGTACCCAGCAAGAGATAACTGACACCCACTCATCAGCATTGAGCATTTGGCTGTCTTCTCCCGGAAGACTTCCCAGACTCTTCCCAACCTGGAACTCATTTCTCTACCCCTGGAAGCACAGAGCACCTTCCATGGTGGCATTTAGCACTGTCAGCTTCCATCGGTGTCGTTTGTATAGAACTACTTCAGTCTGTCTGGCCTGGGAGCTGTCAGAGAGCGGGCCTCCCACCAGCCCCCAACCCAAACTCAGCATAGACTTCTGCACCAGGGAAGTGGAGGCGGTCATTCTCTTTCCACTTATCAGACCCACAGAGGGCCAGCAAGAACCTGGCTCCTTCAGGCCAGATGCTGTCACCCAGGTTGCGCAGAGATACCATTTGGGCTTGAGGTCTTGCTGGGACACCTCCCTGTCCAAGGTCCTGCTTCTTCTGTGCCTCTTTCCCAAGTGGACACGTTGAGCCCTCCTATCTATACCTCTCTATAGTATAGATAGCCCTCCTATCTATACCTAGGACTTGTGAGGCTCACAGGGCAGTGCGTGTGCAGATATGCACTGTGCACTACCTACTCCTGATCTGTGTGTGCCACGCTGAGGCCCACTGGGTACCCGTGGGAGAGCCAGGGTTCTCCCCACCCGCTCCTTCTTACCTTCCGGCCGTGGAAGCCCTGGATCCCTGGGTCTCCCTGGGGGAACAAAGAGACCATCCAAGTGGGTTTTTCAGTGCCAAACTGGTCGGTGTTGTTCCCTGCACAGTGCCATTCCTCTTCCTCTCAAGGTTCCCAAATCCTCCTGCTCCTTCAGCGCCCACCTCCCACCATCCCTGAGATAACAGCTCTCGGTGTCTTTGAGGCTAACAGAGATTGCTCAGCTGCTGCACAGCCCTCTTGGAACCTGGACAAGTCACTTTCTCAGAGCTCTCGGCATCCACAGTGACAAAATAGGAGGAGAGGATCAACACTTTGCACCTTTTCATTCCCTGAGCCCCGGATCCCCAGATCCAAAGTGAGAATCTTTTTGACATTTTGAGCTTCTGGGTAAGGTTTCACAAAAGACCAGAGGACCCTGGAGGCCTCCTCTGGGTCTGACCCCTTGCAAAGCACTGCTCGATTGGGATATGGTGGCCATGTCAGAGGCAACCGCCTTCAGTTTCTGACTAGAACATAAGCTCTCTGGTGGGCAGTACTGTGTTCTCTGGATGGCAGCTGGAGAGCTTACTGGTCAACCTGAGTGCAAAGGAAGGGCTGTACATGCTGGAGCCAGAGCAGTGTTTGGGAAGTGAGCTGAGCCTGATCCATCTTGCTGCGCTCAGCTCTGTCAGCATCCCCCAGCCAGGCAACTGTCCCCCCGGTGCAAGGCTTTATGAGGTGGATTCTTACCTTCGGTCCTGGAGGCCCAGGTAAGCCCTGTGGAAGCAAGAAAAGGAGGTGGCTGCGTTTATTGCATTTATAGTGGAACTGGGGCCCAGCAACCCCCAGATAGCGCTAACAAGAGAACAAGAATCCTAGAGCATAGCTTTAGAGTATCTGCAAGGGTAACTGGAACCTGAGGGCACGTGAGGACAGTAGGCTCATGTCCCTCTATAGAGCCATGTGGGCGCTGTGGGCAACGCGTCTGTGCTGATCCACTGGAAAGTAGGTCAGTGGCATCGTGCTAAATTAACGGTGTGGTTTGGTCCAGAGCCTCACTCACTCACCTCCCAGTTGGGACCCCTCCCTGAAAAGCCAGTCTTGCCCAACAAGGCCTTGATTTTGTCCTTGGCCCTTCCTGCTGTCTCTCTCTGCCCAGGATGTGGGCCCAGGGGCCTGTAGGAGCCCAAGGGAGAGGCCAAGAGGCCCAGGCAATGGACATGAGCCGGAGAAAACCATGATCCGTAGGTCTGCTCTGTTTCAACAGGATTGAAAACATGCTTTCTGGGTTTTTTCTTTATAAACTACAGAACAAAGACTTACCAGCTTGGAATCAGCAAGCTCCTGCCCAATGTGCTCGGCAGGAGGGCAGTGGTGAACAAAGAAAGGAATTTTGAACATTTTGGTTTCCTTGGCTTGGTTTGGTTCAAATTTTTAAATTTACTTCTTTTTAGGTTTTTCATTTTCCCATTTAAAGACTGGTGGAAGTGAGACTAATCTCCTTGCTTGTGGTGTTGGGGGAAATTATGGAATATTTAAAATCCATTTGGGAGGGCCAACTGAGTTAGGAGACAGCTCCCAGCAACTTAGGCCCTCACACTACAGCACTGACCTGTCCAGCAGAGCCAGCGCCCAGCCCAGAAGGACCCTATGTTAAGCCTCAGGATCAGCCGTGAGGGTAGCCAAAGGGCCCAGGAATGAAGCCGACTGATCTAGATGGTGCCCATGTCCACAGAGGGCTATTAGTCAGGAACGTCCCTCACCCCAGTGGCTCTACCTCTGGATCAATCCCAGAGAAACTTTCAGAAGTGTACAGACATTATGTTCCAGGACATGGGTCACAGCAGGGGACTCATTCAATGCTGTCTAAGCAGGCCCAGCAGCTCTGCAACTGCTCCCATGGGAGATCCCTTCCGGACCTGCAAAGGGCTCGCTTTATGACAGTAAGGGAAAAACTTCTGATGCAAACCGCTAGGTCATTCAGAACCCTGCCAACCTGGAGAGTGTTTACAGCAGGTCTGCAGGGGAGAAAAAGGAAAGGACTCTCCAAAATGCTAACGAGGTGGGCGCTGAATGTGGGGGAATAGCGGATGTGTACATTTTTCCTTGTTAATGTTTGAAGTTTTTCACAATGAATGCATGATGTTTTTATCATCAAAGGCAAAACCCCCATGTTTTTAGCCCATGGGAAAAGCACTTTTAAAAGGCAAGGTGACTCTGCTGTGACCCCTGCTCCCTGGATCACACAGAGTGGGTGCTCCCTGTAGGGGACGCTCGCTTCTCCCAAGATGCCCAGCTCCCGCTCTTCTGTCCTCAGCTCTGTTGTACCAAAGAGCTGAGGAGAAGGTCTTAGCCAGGGCTTGAAAGTGGGTGACTGGAGGCCACTGAGCTTGAATTGTGTCTGAAAAGGTTGCAGCTGGCCTTCTGGACCCCTTTCAGCAGCAGTCTGCCAGCCTTTGGGGTTGGTGCTGGGTCCTAGTAGAGGGGCATCCCATTGGGAAGATGACCTGTGTGTGAAACCACACTCACACAGAAGGGTCTGGGGGTGGTGGTGCACCCCCTTGGAATTTTTCTAGAACCCACTGCTTCTGACTTGGGTTTTCCTAAGCCAGGGACCAGGGACAGTAGTCAAAGGTGGCCCTGGGGATCTTTCCTTTAGGCTCCTCTGTGGAGGAGTCAGCCTATTAGTGGTCTCTGTCCTAGGAAGCCATGGCTGGCGATGGCCCTGCCAGGTGAGTTTGCAGGGCAGCAGGAGAGTGTGCCAGGAGTGGATAGTCTTGCTGGGGCCAACATGGCCCAGTGGCCTTGCTAAAGTCTTTCTGCCGCTTGGTAGGAACCCAGCTTCTCCTTGGTAATTCAAGGCTTGGAGGTTTACAGAGAATTCTTGGGGCAAATCTTGAAGCAGAGGGGGAGGGGATACTTACGGGTGGCCCCATGGGCCCTGGTAGTCCTGGGTGCCCCAGAGGTCCACTTGGTCCAGGGGGGCCTGGTGGCCCTGGTGGGCCTTGGATGCCAGCCTGGCCCTGCTCACCCTGAGGTTCATGGAGACATGTGTTAGAGAGGAGACTCCAGAGCTGCGGAGCGGCCCAGCCCATGCCATGCACCCACGAGGCCCCGCTGCGGCTGTGTGGGGAAGGTGGGGGTGACAGTGGCGAGAGGGCGTGGTGGTGATGAGTCTGTGGTGGCGGTGATCACATGCAGGGGCTGCTGGCAGTGAGAGGAGTGCCAAGACTTCAGGTCCCAAGCGGCGGGGCTGCCAGAGAGGACTTGCTGCCCGAGTAGCCGTTCCCCAGGGCTCAGGGCCAGCTGGGAGTGTGAGTGACCAAGGCCTGACCAGAGGCTGAACCTGGGCCCGATGCCCAGGGTGCAGGCTGCAGGGTCTCTGTCACCCTCTCTCGGTGTGGCAAGTCACATCATCGCTCTAGGCCGCAGGCTGTCAGCCATAGAGCGGAACAGATGTTCCTTATTTCCTATCTCAGCTTTTTGCAGTCTATGGCCACCTCAACTAGAGGATCAGATGAGAGCCACGGCCAGAGGTCACTGTTGAATGGGGCGGGGACTTTACCAAATTCAAGTTGGTGGCTCTGTGAACCACGGGGAGCCCTGGCAAACTGGGAGGAGTGGTCACCCCTTTAGGTTGGCCATGAGTTTTCTGGTTGCCTTGGTCCCCACCTTGCCTACCCTTTCTCCGGAGCAGCTGTGTTTGCCACCCCTGCTGTGGGGAAGGAGCTCTGGAGGGGCCGAGGAGTGCTCTGCGCCTGTGCGGGTTGCTGGTGCACGTCCCTGGTCTTACCCGCCCTCCTCAGCCAGCTGCTCTGAGGTCAGCTTTTGTCACCCACCACGGGTGTCCCCAAGATGTGCCAGTGGCCCAGGAAGTGGGCATGGTGCTGTGTTCCTTCAGCAGCAGGAGACATGTGACCTGGCTCTTTGGGTGGGGTGAGCCAGCCATCTTGCATCTAGATCCATGCCATCCTTTTTTCTTTTTCTCTTTCTCTTTCTTTCTTTCTTTCCTTCCCTCCCTCCTTCCCTTCCTTCCTTTCTTCCTTCCTTCCTTCCTTCCTTCTTCTCTCCCCTCATTTCTCTCTGTCTTTTTTCTTTCCTTTTCCCTTCTGTCTGCCTCTTTCTTTCCTTTGTTTTTTTTGAGACAGGGTCAGGCTGGCCTCAAACTCACTGTGATCCTCCTGCCTCTGCTTCCTGAGTGCTGGGATTACAAACATGTGCTCTCATGCCCAGCCAATGCAGTGTTTCCTAAACGACCTCTCCAGGGAAAATCTGGGCTCAGCTCTTGGGAGGAGGGGCCCATCCCTGTAGTTATGGGGGAGGCTGTCTCCCCTGAACCAAGGTACAGTCTGGCTTCTAAGGGAACCTGTGTGGCCTTGTCTCCAACCAGAATAGACCTGGCTGAGCCTCCTGTCCTCTGACACTCTTAGAATCCTGCTTTATGTTCTCCAGTGTTCTTACACCTTTGGAGAGGGATAATCCACAATACAACACCACAAATCCCATTTTACAGAAAAGAAAACTCAGGCTCAGAGAAGCTGAGCTCTCTGACCAACGTCACAGGGAGCATTTCAGATGGAACAGGATCCAGACTCAACTCTGAAGTCCAGACTATTTTTTTGGATCCAAATAAGCCCCAGCAAGATGGGCTTTCAGTCCAACTTCCTACACCTTGGAAATGACCTCCAACACCATCTGCTAAGCACATTGTGTCTTATATAAATTCTCCTCTTTCAGCTAACCTTGGCCCACCTTGCAGATCCTGTGAAACCAATATCTGGTTCATTGATAGGAAATGGATAACCTTTTTATGTCCTATGATGGCCAATTGCATGCAAACCTTATTCCCCAGGCAGAGTCTGTAGCAGGTAGCAGAGGGTCGTTGTTCTTCTCTACTTTGGGCCAGGTCAGGGCAGCCCAGAAATTTCTGGCTGAACCACTGTTTGCCCTTGCAAAGGAAGGCAGCAACCTGCATGGCCTGGCTCCAATCCTAGGACCTTTGGGCATCTTCTTCCTCAAATTGGGGATGAGGATGAGGATAAGGATGATGCCCCACAGCTGGGTGGTAGATGTGGGGATTTACAGGAGTTAATCCATGCAGAATTCTCACACCAGGGCCTGCAGCCCAGTAGCTTTCAACAAATAACTGCTAATAAGTCATGACCATGGCCATGAGACGGCTGTATATGTGGGTGCCCAGGAGGATGGTGCTTGGAGAGTTGGGCCTCAGCTCTCTTGCACTGGGGTTTGGCCTGGGTTTTAGGGGCTGGCAGTGGTGTGGGCCTGGGGTTGCTCTGAGCTGCCCTGCTTGCGGCAAGCACTGGTTACACACAAAGGCTCTCAAGGACTTGGCTAGGGACACGTGAGTTTCAGGCTGCAGGTGTGGGTAGCACACACACCACATGTCCCTCTATATTTTTAGCTGTTCATTGGGGCAGTTTTTCAGTTGTCCTCCATCAGGTGCCTGAACATCCAGGCCCCTGGGTTCCTGGTCCCCAAGAAAGGTGGCTTATAGCCCTGTTGTGGGACTGTCAGAGAGCAGCTAAGTGTCCTGATACTTCCAGAGTCCCTGTGCCTTGGGGACATCTGCGCAGGGTAAGGAAGGCGAAGGGCAAAGCAGCCTGGACCTGGCTTGGAATCAAGCTGTGACCTCCTGGAGACAGGGGCAAAACTGCTTCATCCTTTGTGATCTGCGGCTATGCCCGCCTCCTGAGGTTAGCACGGCCGGAAGAAGGAAGCAGTCGCTCACGATCACAGCCTTTGGTTATGAACTACATTCCCTCTGCAAATGTTCTTGCCCCTCAGACTGAGGCCTCCCAGGATCTGCATTGCTAAGCAGAAAGGATGAGAGTGGTGGATATGGGGGCCAGAGACCTGCAGCTAGTTCCAAGTCTTTCTCTTGTAGTTTGTGTGATGTTGGGCAAATCAGTTCACTTCTCTGAGCCTCAATTTCTTTGTCTCCAAAATGTGGATGACAGTAATAACATCAGCTAACATTATATCACTTACACCATACTAGGAACTATATTAGTGATCTATCTATCTATCTATCAACAGCACCGTGACATAGACAATATTATCATCTGCATTTTACAGATGAGAAAGCTGAGGCACCAAGAGGTCAAGTAACTTGCCTAAAATCACACAGCTAGCAACAGGCAGAGGACCTAAGGGCAAATCCCTGCTCTGTGTGCTGGGTATTCACCAACATCATATTAATGGGTCCATGGGTGTGTCATTTAATTGAATTGTATTAGAGAAGATTCTGGCTTTGATTACAGCCCCAGCTGGCCTGTCAGGGCCCACAGACTTGCCGGGCCCCTGGGGGAAGCCACACGGGTCTGGCACACGGAAGGTGTCTACCTGGAAAGTCCGCCTTTTTATGACTGGGGGTGGAGCCAGCCGCACTGAATTGAGGAGAGGCAGCAGCTGAAGAGAAAGGTGAGTTGGAAGGCCAGAGGGCAAAGGCCAAAGATCGCAGGTATTCAGAACGATGTTGAAAGTCACCGGGAGGGCAGAGCGGCCGAGAGGGTTGGGAGGAAAAGAGGAGAAAAGAGAGATTAGCGTGAGCATGGGGCAGGTGGGAAGGTGTGAACCGGCATTATTGAAGCTGGGGACGCGGGCCCGGGTTGGCACGGCCAGCCCTGGGAAGGAGGGGCAGCGTCCCATCTGCACTCTGCCTCGGTCTCCAGGTTGGAGCTCTGGGTACTGGTCTGAAGCCCCTGGACTGGGAAAAGGGTCCTGCTTGGCCCAGCCTGCCTCCTAGACATGCTGGGCTGCAGAGGTTGCTCTGCTGCTAACACGGGCCTGACACTGCACTGCCATCCCCACCCATCTCTGTCCCATTAGGGGACAGAGGCTGTTGTGCTGAGGTCACAGACTCAGAGGCTCTGGCTTGGGAGCTGCGGGACAGCTAAATTGGTACTTGAAGCCAGGCTGATGTGCAGCCCTCTTTGGCTTCTTTTGCTGGTAGACGAGAAGGGCTGATGTCAGCGAATCTGAGGATGGTCAGGGCAGGGCCAAAGCAGCTGCCAGGGCTGAGCCCCGGTGAGGGCGAGGCCGATGTGGGCACAGGCTAAGTGCTACTGAGATCTCACTGTGGTGCTGGCACGCCTGGAAAATAGAGGCTGGGTAAAGATGTCTCTGTAATGTTCAACCACTTTTTTTAGGGGGAGGCAACTTGCAATCCTATTGTCGAATGGGATTTTCATTTCTGGAACTTCTTGCACAGTTCCTCTATCCAACTGACCCATGGTTTTAGGAGGCGGTGAGCCCACAGGAGAACAAAGATGGCACATAATCAGCTACTTGTTTTCAAAAGCGCTTGAACTCCCTCAAGCCCCCTGGGATGATCTTTAAGAACCAGGAGCCACCAGGACTGAGAATTCGCCCAGCTGGGGACTGGAAGGCCAGCGGGGACCTTCCGGGTCAGCCCTGCGCCTTCACTGGCAGCTGCCACCCTTGGAACCCCACCCACCTGAGTCGGGGAGGGGGAGGGGCAGTGCCAGGCTCCTGTGCAGAAAGCGTCTCAGCAGACAGGGGCAGGAGAACTTCCAGAACCTACAAACCTTCAGGGTGATTATCTGGTTGGAGCGCAGAGCCCCTAGTGTGCTGCCCAGATGCTCCTGGTGTGCAGGGGAAACGAAGACAGCAGAGGCTGGGTAACAGACCGAGTAGGGGGCACAGATGCCAGCCCCTCTGCCCCAGTCCTGGGGGCTCCATTTTGCCCACCCAGCAACCCTCTCCTCTCCCTTCTTTCCTGGTGAAGTCTCAGGCTGGAAAAGTCTCGGGCTTGCTGGGCCACAGACCCCTTGTGAAACCAGCAGGGCCCTCAAAGCTCCCTGTTTTCCTACCTCTTCTAAATAAACTTGTTCTGCTCATCTGCTGCATACCCACATCCACTCCCCTTTCTGACTGCTCCCCAGACTGCTGTAGACCTAAGTCTGGAAGTCTGGGCTTCACTGCGTCTGTTGCCAAGGCCCTTCTAGAACCTTCTATCACTGCCTCCTTCCCTGTTCTTGTGCTGGGCTGAGGGGTAGAGAGCCCATCTTTGCCTACCAGCAGTGTCCCTTTAGGACTGGTGACAGATGGACAAAGAGTCTGCATTTGGGTGTCTTTTGTGCTGGGGGCTGCTGTCTTCCTTTTGGGTAACATAACAGTCCTGTGAGCCCACCGTTTCAAATAAACACAGCTGGCCTTCAATTATTGTATCAGGATCAGGCTGGCCAGAACGCCAGGGCCCCTGTGTCCCCAGAGCACATGCCACCAACAGGCCAAGGCCAACTCCATCTGTGTGGCTGTGGCCTGTGTCCCTTAGATCAGGCCCAGCACAGCCTCGATCTCAAACCTATCCCTGTCTCTCATGTTCCAGGCCCATCATGGCCTCTCTCTGGCCCAGGAACCCAGAGTTTTGAGACTCACATGCTTTTCTGTCCCCTCACTGGCTGGGCAGAGGCCAGGCCCTGTTATCCAGGCCCTCCCAGGGCCAGACAGAGTCAGATCCACTCTGAGCCTGGCTTGTGCCTGTCTCTGTCCCCTATCCCCAACCCCAGGTCCTATCCAGCAAGGGTGCAGGGCCAGGGGAGCCACCCATGTGTTTCTGGGCCATGAGGGAAGGAAAGGTCTCCTAAGATGCCTGTCCTGTGTACACCTGCCTCCCAGGGCTGAGCGCAGCCTGTCTGGCCCCTGATTCCTGTGTGCAGGGCTCGTTTCTGGTGTTAGCGCTCTGGATTCTTGCTTGAGGAAGCAGGGCTCAGCTTTGCCCTCCCCTGTCCCAAGCAGGATCTCTGGGTTGGTGCACAAGTAAAGATTCTAAATAGGCAGGCAGAGTTCTGTATTTTGGAATGGAGCAAACAAAAGGAAGGAGCCAGATAGGGAAAAACCATCTCAGCCCCCAGTAAATCCTCATACTGCTGGGAGAAGGGCTTCCTGTGCTTGTCACAAGGAGAGGGGAAACTTTATCCCTTGAATTCATGCAGTCCCCTCAATGCTCTCCCTTCCCAAAGCTTGGTCATCTGAAGCAATGAGGAATTTAGAAGTCCCTCTTTTTCTGGAAGGCTGCCAGAAAACACGCAGACACAGTGGCATACTTGTTCCCAGCACAGCCGAGGAATCACACAGACCCTCACGAGCCACGCAGCCATCCAAGAGGGTGAGGTGAGGCAGCCAGAGTTGCAGACACACCCCAGAGAGATGCCAGGCACCCGGGGCAGCAGGCAGACGGCAGAGGGACAGGGACTGTAGATGGCTGGCTCCACTAGACACACACACACACACACACACACACACACACACACACACACAGGGATCCATCCACATTCACTGTGCGCACCAGGCACCCTGCCACCTCTCCTGCTGCCAAGCAGGGCCTGAGGCTCCTGTCCCCAGCTCTGTCAGGGGCAGAGACCCCAGTGAGATGAGGGCTGTGCCTGGGAGTGGATCGAAGGGCCCGTTTGTTCTGGGGCTCACTTACCCGGTGTGGGTACTCGCCACACTGGCCCTGGGAGGGGAGGAGGAGAGAGGTGGTGTTAGACACTTGTGAGGGACTCTGTCTGTCAAGAGTGCTCCTGTGAGCTGTCAGACACACCCTGAATCTCACTGCTCAGTGTCTTACTGCGGGCCTGAGCCCTCTGACCCAGGGGTAGGAGATGAGGTGGGAGAATCAGGTCCCTCCTCTGATCTTGGAGGCAAGTCTGGGGTGTGCCTGGAAGTGGCCTCACGAGTGAGGGAGGGGCCTGAATTACACCCCAGGCCTGGCCGGAGGTTACCTGACCGCGCTGGATTGGAGCCCTGAGCAGAAATTCAACAGACAGAAAGTAGGAGGCCAGGAAGGGGTGAGGACGCCTCACAGTCCTAGAGGCTCGGGGTCCGAGACACTGAGAGAATGGCAGGTGGGAGATGCCAAGGAGGACCCTGGAAAGGCCCATTCTCTGGGAAGACCCCTCCCCTAAGAAAAGATGTTACCCAGGGCAGCGCCATGGTGTCTATCTTACATTCTGGGGGCACCCTGGGGCCTTTCCTGCTTCGGTCAATAAACCTCAAACTTCAAAACAATGACTCTAACCTCCATCTGCCTGTTGGGAGTTTGTGTCCAAGCTGGAGATTTTAGGAAGCCCCCTTCTCACCCACCTTTTCTCCTTTTTGTCCTTGAAGTCCCTATGAAGAGACAGAAATGAGTTAGGGATTGAAACTTGGGACGCAGTGGCCCCAAACCTCTTTGCTAGGGAATAAGGAAGAAGAGGTACCAACCGTCTGTCCTCGGGGACCCATCAGGCCCTGGGGAAGGAAACACACACAGGTCAGTGAACAGACAGATGGCAGGTCAGAGACAGGTACCTGGGTAGGGCGGGGACAGATGCTGCCAGGGGCTTCTCGGAATGTCCTGAAGGCTGGATCTGTCTACCACGGCCTTTGTACCTGACATATGCAGAGTGGTGTGGCCTTATAGTCCAAGCCACTACCTCTCTGCCATCTGCAGGCATGTCCAGGTGTGCCCTGTCCCCTCAGATGCCATCCTTCATTCCTTCGGCCACTGTCATCCCACACTGGCCAGGCAGCAGGCTGCACTCAGGAGTCAGGTGGCTGTCTGCCCCTCGGAACCCCCTACCTCCTGCACCCAAACTCGAGGAGACATCAGCTGCTTCTGCCTCAGGGGAATCCGTGGAACCAGAAAGCTACAGGGGACACAATGGGAGGAGAACACGCCAGTACTGCAGACAGTGGGCATTCCTCTCTGTGGCACAGGGAGGAAGCTGGAGGTCTGTGCCCTAAGCCAGGTTCTGAGTTCCTTGGAGGAACACACAGGGTCGGGCAGGCACTTCTCTCCGAGGAGGACCTGGGGTCCTGCTGGCTCTCAGGAGCCTGCACCATGATAAGAATGAAAACCAGGTCCTGTGAGGTCCTTCTCTGCACCCCTCAGCCCGCGGGGACTCCCTTGCCACACCATCTCCAGCTCCCGAGTTGGGGGCAATCAAGATGGGTGGCCTCAGGCTGCTGAGGTGGGGAAAGAGCCTCTCCTGCCCCTGTCTTGCTGCTTCAGAACCCCGGCGAGACCCAGTGACCCAGAGAAAGGGCCTTGGGGGTGATCTGCACAGCACTCCCAGCCCACCTGGCTGGCGAGCGCTTGGTGTCTCATTCAGCGGAGCCAGAAGCCAGACCCCAGGTGACCAGGCCACCCTCCGTCAGGACAGGGAGAGGAGTGTGATGGGGGTGAGGGACTGATGAAACCCCTCTGGGGTTCAGGACTGCAGAGACATGGAGGGTTGAGTCCAGACACCAAGTCATGGCCTCCGGGACAGTGTTGGTCTCCCTGGGTATTTTGTCTGTCCCACATGGATTTATTTCAGTTTGTTTCCAACGCTAATGAACCAGGAGAGGGTAAATTAAAATCTGAAATTCCCTTAACTATATCAAGGCCCCACACCACATGGTACCAACTAGCTCTTGGCAGGCGGCTACAGTCGAGGCCCTGGCCCACCAGCCCTCCACCGGCATCCAGCACCAGACAGGGCCGAGGCCGCCGTGCTTCCTGGGCGCAGGCACTGTGTGACAGTGCCTCTCGCCTTATGACGGCCCTGCCCCTGTGGACAGCGCTGGGGTGACATGTGGATGCAGAGTCTGGGCTCTCTTATGGCCTTGTTGCCCCAGAGTCTGGGCCCCCAGTCGTGCCCACACCCACTTTGCATAACTATCTCATGTCAGGCTCTTGGGCTTTGGAGAAGCGATGGGTAGAGGGGATCCTGTTCTGACAAGTGAGGGTGCAGGCTAAGCACTCAGGCCCGGCGTCCAGGCTGGGACCCCCGGGAGAGAGAAAACAGATGACAACCAGGCAGAGCTGACACACAGACGACCCCAGGGCCCTGCACAAGCCAGACAGGAGTGGCTCGAACGTGCTGAAGTAGACAGGGGATCTGCCACACTGTCACGTCTCATGGGGGGCGGAGGCCCGGTCCCTCCCCTTGACAGAGAGGGAAGGCTTGTGGGTATCAGGTAAGGTGGCCAGGGCACCGTGAGGGTGAGGAGCGCCCCACAGAGGGTTCCTGGCCTTCAGGACAAAGGGTGTGCACAGCAGAGGGGAGGAGCTGTTGAAGGGTGAGGCCCTGTCACGTGGCCTGAATCTCAGCCCTTTTAGGAGCCACGAGGCTCTGGGCCATGTACTGAGCCACTCTCCCCTCTTGTCATGTGCTACGAGGATCACAGAACCGCCTGGTGGGTGACCATTCTTATTACTCTGAGGGGCCATGGCTGCCTTATGGTGGTGTCGGGCTGAAGGTATAGAGGGGGCTGAAGTGATAAACACCCCAAACTCCCAACAACCAAAGCTCTGATGCCTCTGTAACAAAGGCAGCATCGAAGTTCACCACTGTCTCAGCCTCTGTTACTTCAAGGCTGTGTACTGCACTCAGGGGCAGTGCGCAATGGTAGAAGAAAGCTGACAGAAGACCTGTTTCAGTGCGTGCTCTTCTCCCCACTGCCCCTGTGCCTACTGTCCTTCCTCCCATTCTGTGGGCATTTCAAAGACTCCCTGGCCTCAGGGCCTTTGCACATGCTGTTCTTACACATCTCCTTGTCTATTTTCTTATGGTTGAATCTTCATCCTTCAGGACCTATTTCTAAGTCTCTTTCTTAGGAAAGCCTGCTCTGATTCTCAGCCTGGGTGAGGTTTTTGTTACTCTGAGTTTTCCCAGGGCCCTGGGGACTACCTTTGTACAATAGCCACTGCAGGGCAGTTTGCGTTGATGGGTTCTTTAAATATTTGACTCCGTCATGAGAACACAAACTCAGGATGGCAAGGACGGTGTGTCCTGTTCCTGTCCACTCCCCCAGCACTGGACGCAGTGCCCAGAACACTTTAGATAGTCAATAAAAATCTGTTCTGGGAAGGAAGGAAGCAGGAAGGCAGGCAGGGAGGGAAACATAAAAGGAAGAAGGAGGCAACGAAGGGGAGGGATTTGAGAACTGGGTTTGGAGCCTGTTTTGGGCACTTCCCAGCTGTGTGACTTAGGCAAGTTACTTAAATCTCTGAGCCCTGTTTCCACAGCTGTCAGGGGGGACCCTAAAAGGATGAGGAGTTCCGGGTCCCACTGAGAACTGAATGAGATAATACAGTCATGCGCTCCGTAAATGACGATTTGGTCACAGATGGGCCATGTACAGGAGGGTAGTCCCACAGATTACATCATCCAGTGACATAGGTACACACTGTGATATCCACACAGTGACGAAACCACCCATGCTGCATCCCACAGCATGCATTCTTGTCGTTAAGTAACATGGAACTGTGCACATGAAGTCCTTAGGCTGCAAATGCTGGCTCTGGGTGCAGAGGCTGGGTAGGGACCCCAAGGGGCTGGGTTAAGGGTCCTGGGGCCGGTTGGTGGGACCTGAAGTCCCAGCGTCTGGGACAACACTTCATTTCCCTTTCCTTTCGCAGAAGTGCCTGCCTCCCTTGGTGCCCTGGCTGGCTGCTGGTCAAGGAGTCCTCACACCAGCATGCGGGCTAGGGCACAGCCCAGACCCCTGCTAGCTGGCAGAGGGCAGCCAGCTATGTTGCTCTCACCGTCTGTGGCGCAAATGCCAGCCCTGTGCCAGCTTGTCTTGCAGGAGGCAGAGCTCGGGAGGCAGGCATGTGTCCCAGCCTAGGTGGCCTGTTTGCTTTCAGCGGCCATCAGGCCCTGCTGAGAACAAGCCCCTCACCAAGGGGGAGCTCTGACTCCCTTCCAGAACAGGTGGCCTGCGGGGAGCTCGTTGCTTTCAGCCACTTTGCACAGGTAGAGGGGCTGGAAAGAGGGAAAGCTGAGACCTGACTTTTCTCCTGCCCATGTGGGCCGAAGCCCAGGCATTGTTGGGCAGCTGGGGGCAGAGCTGGCACAGGGAGAGGGCAGTCAAGCTGAGCTCACACAGCCAGCCACCTGGCAGAGGCAGCGCTCTCCTCAAGGGGGCTGATGTTTCTGGGTCCACCAAGCCGAGTGCAGTCGGGGAGAACTCAGCTGCCGCCCACCGCCTGGGGTCCTGGCCCGGCGGGTGCTCTCTGGCCCTCCTCCCTGTGGTTCCGGTGGAGGACCCACCCTGCCTCTCCCCGCTGCAAGATGAAGGACCCGGGTCTGTGTGCGTGCACAGGTGGGGAGTGACCAAGCAGGGCAGTCGCCTGCTCTGTCCCCCAGCCATCTCGGGAAGCAGGAAAGCTGGACTCTTACCATCTCCCCTTTGGGTCCGGGATGGCCCTGGTAGGAGAAGAAGGTGACTGTCAGACCCATGGTCAGCAACACAGAAGCCCCACCCTGCCTCCACCTGCTCTTCCGGTCACCACACTGCCCACGTCTTTCCTTTCTCAGTTACTCCATCTCTTGCTTGTCCCCCAGTCCCTAACCCACAGTTGGCTAAGGCAAGGCCATTTGCTGCCCTGCCCTCCCCGGGCCTTATGACTGCTGTCTGCCCTTCAGAGGAAGATTTGGGGGTGTGTCCCCAGACCCCAGCCTCACCATGTCCCACACCAGGGTGGCAATGGACATGCCCACGGTGGCTAGGGCAGGTGACCAGGTCCCCTACCCCAGAGGATATTGGCTACCCCTCGGAGGGCTGAATGGTTGGGCCCAGGAAGCACCCCCTGCCCTGTGTCTTTGCCTGTGGGGTCCCAGAGGGTGTTGAGGGCCAACCTTCCTGTACCTCACCTCCTCCTAGAAGGTGGGGGCTGCTTTCCCCCAGGAACATTGGTGTCCGGGGCCAAGGCCGAAGGCTAGAAATGCCAGTTGGAAAGACGCAGGGAGGGGGAAGTGGTCTCACATGGCCTTGGTGTGTATGTGGGGGCGGGGAGGCTTACCTGGTACCAGCTCACAGTCATGGAAAGGTCAGGGGAAAGGGTGACCCTTCAACTGCCACCCGAGGGAACAGCAGAGGGCAGCAGACACAGGAGCACCTTGCTGGGTGGGGGCTGAGGACAGTGTGTGACAAGCCGCTGGGTGCTCTGTAGGGTCAGCCTGCTGAGTTCTGCCTCCTGCACCCTCCAGGCACCTCCCAGCCTTCCCCTACCCCAGACCTTTCCAGCAGCAGCCAGAATCACCAGGTCTAGGGACAGCTGTTGTGTAGCTGCTGAGCGGCTGGCTTGGCTGCTGGTGACTTGTGCCCTGGGAAGCTGCTGGGTCAGGGGGACTCATTCAACAGCCCCTCCTCCTTCTTCCTTCTAGTGACCCCTTTTTAGCCAGGTACTTTCTATCAAAGGCATCTTCCCAGGACTCAGGGTCTCACAGGAGGCCCGGGGGAGCCAGGGTTAGGAGCCGGGTGGAGTGTGGAGTGGAGTCCCAGCCCGGGGGCCCACTCACCGGTTTGCCGTCCAGCCCAATGGGACCCTGCAAGCAGAAAGGCCAGATGTAAAGACCCAGCACCGCAGGCCTCCTCCCTGGGCCTGGGGCAGGGGCTCTAAGAGGCACAGGACCTGATGCCATCCAGTTAGGGGTTCAGTCCCTGCTTGGCCACTTACTTGCTGTGTAGCCACAGGTAGGCCTCAGCCTCCACTTCCCTCCTACAATGGGGTCAAGAATAGCAGAGCCTTCCCTGATGGGTCCTAGTGAGGAGCAGTGAATGCCACCTGCCAGGTGTCTGGCACAGGGCAGAACCCACTGGGTGGTACTGTCCTTGGTGTCAAAGGCCTCCTCCTTCTCCCTTCTCCACCCATGAGGAGAGTGGACAGCATGTTCCTAGGAAACTGGGCTCGCTCAGCAGCAAGGCCCAGGGAAAGGAACGCGGCTGCTCCCCACTTGGCTGGGGTGAAAGGATACTCAGGAGGCTGCCTCCCCGCCTCCCCCTGCCTCCCGCTGCCGGACCTTCTCTCAGAGCCTGGCTGCAGGCTGATGTCCTATTGCTTTCCTGAGGCATTTCATGCTCACGTTCCAGTGTCCTGCCGGGCTCACTAGCCTGTCCTGTTGCCCCCTTATCTGTGTGTGCCTTTTCCCTGTCCCTTCCTGCACCTGGAGCTGAGAGCTGAGCTACCCTCCTGGGAAAGGCTGCCGAGTGGACTCTTAATGACCAAGATAGGAGCCAGAAGCATGGCACATGTTTGCAATCCCTGGCTAAGCCAGGAGGATCACAAGTTCAAGCCCAGCCTGAGTAACTTAGTGATCCTATCTCAACATAAAAAAAAGATAAAAGGCTAGGGATACAGCTCAGCGTGAAGGTCCTGGGTTAGTCTTAAGTATTAGCCTCACCCCCAAAAAGAGAAAGACCATAGTTTGGAAGGGGAAGGAAAAGAGCGGCCTCAGGATTTCCCTTGGTGGACACAGTCTAACCCTGTCAGGCCAGAGCTCACCAGGGCACAGCTAATCTCAACCCTCACCACTTACCGGAAATCCAGGAAAGCCCCGAGTACCCGGCTGGCCCTGAAAAGAACAGAACAGTGAGGATGAGCTAGGAGGGACGGAGCAGCCCCTCTCCCTGGCTCATCTCCCTACCGGTCCCTCACTCCCCTGTGACCTCCATGGGATGCACTTAGCGTGTGTGTGGGGTGGGCCAGCATCTTTGGGCCAGTTTCTAGGAAGCAGCCTCTCGCTGCGGTAGGTGCATTGAGCCTCAGCATGTAAACAGACCAAGAGGCAGCAGGCCAGCAGGGACCCTGCCCTCAGTGCATTGAACCCCGGGCCGAGATGCTCCATGTCCTCTTTATTTACAGGCATCGCTAGTGGCCACTTATCCAAGGGTAGTTTGGATATCAGCAGAGCGCTGGACTTGACCTTCAGAATGCGGCTTCAGGCCAGAATAGGTCAAGTTGCTCACGATGCCTTGGTGTATATGCAGTCTCCTCCCTGTAGCTGCTTGGTTTCTGGGTCCCCTAGGCTTTGTGGGAAGACACCAGTCTATACCCATTTCCCTGGAGGTGCAGAGTATAATACAGACAGATTTTCAGGTTGCAGAGTAGAAGCAGGTTCACTGGCCAGATCCCAGTGGTTTATGGTCAAGATTCAAGACCAGAAAGAGGTGCCGAAGTTAGAAGCAGTCTGATGCTGTGAAAAGCCAATGCTGGTAGGCTGACCAGAATGTGAAGGTGACAGGGATCTGAGAAACGTGAGCCTCACCACTTCCTGAAGAATGAGCAAGAGCTCCCTTCTACTCGCCTGTTATTTCTGGTCATCCCACCTCATCCCAGTGAACCATGCTAGCTGCCTTGCTTGCCTCCTCTTTCCTCCCGTTCCAGGCTCAGGCACATACTCACCTGCCTTTCCCTCCCCCGCCCCCACACAGTCAGCTCTCAGCTTGGGGTCACCCTTTGGGTTACTAAGATGGCCACAGTCCTTCCCTAGGGATGGGCTTTTGCATCTGGCAAGGTGAGTTCTAATACTGCCTCCTCCAACAGCAGTATGACTTTGAGCAAGTTATCTGACCTGCTTAAGCCTCAGTTTCCTCATCTGTAGAATGGGACTAATAGTATGACCTCAGAGGCTCAGGTTTGTCAGGTCTGTTGAAATGGTAGCCGCTGTCACGGTTGAGTTGAGTTGAACTCATTTGTTGAGCTGAGCTGATCAGAGAGGCATCAGAAAAGGTGAGGCTGTTTTTGAGCTCAATATGTCTTGGGATCTATGGAGGTTTAGTCCTGGCCAAGCAATACTTCCAGAACCAGACTGCATCTGGAACCATCTGCTGTGACTCTGAAATGTCTCCAGGATGCCTAGCTCCTCCTCAAAGCTGTGGACACGAGCATCCTGAGATCTCTGCTCAGGGAACACATGGGCCTCTTGGCCTGAGATGTGAACGGAGACCCTGCCATGTCACAGCAGCAGTGCTGGCCCAGCAGGGAGCTGGCCGAAGGCTGCTATGGGTTCGGGATGGGCTTGTGGCAGGCGTCCAAAGGACAAGAGGGAGGAGATGCCACTCATATGTCAGAAAGGTCCCGCTTCTTTTCTCCTCAGGATAAGTGCGCCTAAGAATAGCCCTAAGGAGAAACCCGGAAACCCTGCAACGCAATCTCCGAAACCCCTCAAGGCAAGCTTTCTGTAAACTCCTCTGAACAAGCCGAGGCCTGAAAGAAAGGTCAGAAGGAGAGGATTCCAAGAAACATCGAGAAGGCTCTAGATAGTGTTTATGTGGTAGGGCTAATCACACGCTTTGCTAATTACAGAGCCTGCTCTGGTAGCGGGATGCATCTCTCCAACCCAGGGCCAAGTGCGGGGCTAACCAGGGCTTTTTCAGGCAACTCAGCAAGAATGTTGTCACTGACCAAATGGAAACTGAGACTCTGCTTCCTGGAGAGGCAGGACATGGGGAAAGCACTTGGGGAGGCTTGGAACTGGATTTTAACCCCTATCTCCTCAGTTATATGCTGAGCTGAGATGTCTCTCTATATTCACCAGCCAGTCTTATGCTTATATTGCCTACTACATCTATCTGTCTGTCTGTCTGTCTATCCACCCATCCATTCTGCAATAGGGTCTTATTATTTTGCCCAGGCTGGCCTTGAACTTCCCAGTCCAACCAAACTTCCTACCTCGTCTCCTGAGTGCTGGGACTACAGGGGCATGCTATCACACCTGGCTTTTACTAATATTTTCTATCTGGTTGTTTATTTCTTTTCCTATTGATTTGAGTAAAGTTCTTTTTCAAGAACAATAGCTCTTTGACAGTCATATGTGTTGGGAATATTTTTTGACTCGGTTATTGTCTTTGACTTTGTTTATATTTTCCATCACACAGAAGTCTTACATTTATGTAGATGAACTAACTAAGGTTTTCCTATGGCTTTTGGGGAGGTTTTATGTCACGTTTCGGAAGGGCCTTCACCAGCTCAGAATTATAAAACACTTGCTCCTGTTTCCTGTCTATATTTTATGCTTTCATATTTTACAACTAAGCATTTTATTCATTGGGAATTTGTCCTAATATAATGATTGGGGTAGAGATTCAGCTATTTTAAAAAAAGAAATAAACATCTTTCTTTCAGTTTACCTCTTTCTAAATGGCCTGCCAATTGCCCCAGCATCTGAACAATCTCTTTCTCTTCCTACTGTGAAATGAAGCTGTCGTTATGTGCCCAGTTCCCATATACAATTGTCTTTATTTCTGGTCTTGTTGTTCTGTTCTATCCACTTCTTGTTTTGATTGTTCTACATTTATAGTACAGTTTGGTATCTAGTAGAACAACTAGTTCCCTCTTTCCTAACCCCTTTTCTGTACTTTCACAACTTTCCTGACATTTTCAAAAGTTTATTTTTTTTTCTGAATAAAATTCAATATTTTATTGGACTCTCATTTCCATAAAAAAATTCACTGGGATTAGGAGCACACTAACTGTATAGATAGTAGATTATTTATGGATTATCACTATGCCCTTCTCACAGAGAAAAAGAGAAATAAGCTTTACACTGATTTCTGAAACTACCTTCCTTCATCAAGGCCAGGGTAGGAAGGTAGCCCAGGGGCTCCTCACTTCCTGAGAGTGGAAGCCTGTGTTATTGCTCCCCATATTTCTCCTACCTGAATTTTGTGCTGGGTAAAGCAACATAGTTCTGGCTGGAAAGAGACCGTGGGAAGTCTCATTTCTCTCCTCTTTTTAGCATATGTGCTGCCAAAGCAAGCACAACCTTTCTCTCTTCTTTGACACATCCAAAAAGGCCCCGTTATGTCGGCCTAGGACCTGCCTCATTGTCTACACTGAACAGCTTGTGAATGTGGGAAATGTTTAGAGCTTTGCTTGTGCTCGTGGCCGATTCCAGGCTATGATCTGTGAGGTCGCCTATCACAGTGGAGAGGAAGCTCACAAAGCACACGGTTGTGAGCCGGCACCCTGTGCCCCCAAGCCCCCAGCAGAAAATACAGTGCTCCCCCTAGACATCCAGAGACACCTCACATCCACCCTGCTGTAGGGAAACCTTCTTTCCTGGCAAGCTCCACTTCCAGGGGCTGGCACCACCATGCCCGAGAGTTAGACATGCGGACATCCCGAGCTCCTTCTTCTCCTTCAAGTCTTGCATTTGTCATCACTAAACCCACTGATTCCCCCTTCTGGCTGCTCTAGTTCATGCCTTCTCCCAGGCCTTGGTGATCTTGGGTGCTTTCCAACAGTCTAACCTGCCATTCCTCTAGACACACCCCAACCAGAACAAGGAACTGCCAGCCACCTGCAGATCCTGATCCTCATCAACTTAGCACAACCCAAGGGCTCCCCAATACCCTGGGATGAAGCCCCAACTCCTGAGCACTGTGTCAGGTCCTTTGCAACTTGGCCCTTGCTCACCTCTCCAGCCCTGCCTCTCACCAGCTCTGCCCTGCCCTCCTTGAAGAGGAAAGGCTTCTCCATTCTTCACCAGTTTCTGAGGGCTCCCTTAGGTTCAGGGACTCTGCACTCCTGTCTAGGCTGGGTCACCACCGCAAGTCTTTAAGCATGGTTTAGTTCTCCCTTCCTCCCAGAAGTTGTCCCTGAATGCCCCCCAGATCCCTTACCTTCCCATCTTAGCAATTACTGTGATCCTTGATGCGATCATGGGTCTTGGGTTGGGCTTCCATTGTTTCCTTAGCACCTCGACACACTAGGTTCCTAGCCAAAGCACAAGCAGATGTGGCTACCTGGCACGGAGTGGCTCTTTTTGGTTGACAGCTGGAAGCTGGATTGCTCCTCTAGGCCTGAGAAGCAGCTGGGAGCTCAGGGAGGGAACACCCTGTTTTGAATAGGGGTCCCACACATGCTGGGCCAACCAGCATTTTGGGGTCCAGCCTCCCCTTCTGTTTGATGGGGCTCCCTCAAAAGTCCACACACTCAACTCTTCTGCACCCTGGCATGTGAACTGTCCTTCAAGGTGCCTGGCTGGCTCCCCTTTGCTTGGACCATTTATCAGGTTCCCAGAGGGTAGCAAGGCTGGTTTTGATTAGCAGCACTTATTCTGGGCTCTTCCTGGCTGAGTGGAAAGCCACATGTCCCCATCATCCCTGGCCCCCTGAGGGCTTGCCCACTTGACCTCTCCTCTTAATGACAAGCAGACTCTGTCTTCCCTGTCCCCTGCTCTCACAGCCCAGGGCAGCAGCAGGAGCTGAGGTGGTGGCCAGAGCTGTCTGGTGAGGACTTGGCTGGGGTGACTGAGCCATCTGGGTGAGGCCGTTCTTATAGGCCAGCATCAAAGGACCTCAGGCTTGGTCAGGACTCCTGGGGCCATGAAAGCTTTCCTAGCACCAACATAGGAACCCACCAGGACAACTGTCTTCTGAAGGGAAAGATCCTGTACGAACAAGGAAGCTTTGCAATGCCTTAGGGTCACGGACAGTACTTGCTGGAAGGCTGTGAGAGGGTCAGTGTGAGCCACACAACAGGACATCCGTGGTCAGACCAGGAAGCAGGCAGCCACGATGGCTGAAGGGTGGCCTGTGTTCTGTGTTTCCTCATAACAGGCCTGCCCTCGGCTCTATCCCTGCTGTCAGCGGGACTCTTTTTCTCTGTGACCCCTGCCATCCTTTTCTTCAGTAACACCTGGGCTCAGGCATCCCCCAGTACACAAAGGAGGCAAAGCCCATCAGGGCAGCAACCATGTGAGCAGAGGAGCATGTGTGACAGTGGCACTGCAGCCTGGCCAGGCCATTATAGCACAGGGTTCAGACCTGTACAACCGGGGCTGAGTGATCACTCCTAGTGTGGCCAAGCTCCAGCTGTGACTTCGCGCAAGTCACTCAACCTCTCTGTGCCTCGGCCTTCTCATCTGTAAAGTGGAGTTGAACACAGTCCCTACCTCCCAGGGTTCCTATCTGGGCCTCGGTTTCCTCTTCTGAGAGGGCTGTGCTAGACTGTGGCTGGGTATCTCTCTCCTCCGATATGTGGTTTTATTGAAGGCCCACGGGGGGGCACCCTGGGGAAAGCCCTCTACCGTCCTCCCCAAAGCTGCATCATCTTGCTGGCTCTGTCACCCATATCCCCTTCTGCTCTCTCAGGCAGCAGATCAGAGGAGAACCCCCGGACTTTCGCACTGAATACACAGGACACAGTGTTGACAAGAAAGGGTCCTTGAGTCAGCTCCACCAGGCCCAGCAGTAGATGGCTGGCTGAAAACCTGGATTCCCGGCATCTGCTCCCCAGCTTCTGCAAACAAAGCTTGTTGCTCAGAGGGCTCAGCACTCACCCAGGGGAGCAAGCACAAACTCCCAGCTGTAAACAGAGGGTCCTCCCAGCTGTGGGAGTGCTGGGGCCGCAGGCTGGCCAGAGCCTGTCCTACGCTGTGCTTTTGGGTCACTTTCCTTACGGCAGCCACAGTTAGGACTCACCCTCCCCGCACCCCCCGAAGCCTTTCTCATGAACTCCCCTATCCCCACAAAGAGCAACAACTTACAGGTGGTCCTCGGGGACCAACGATGGACATCCCAGCATCTCCAGGGGAGCCCTGTGGGGAGAGAGGAGTGAGGAGAGGGTGTGGGGACAGGAAACAACAGAGGTGTCGACAGGTGGGGCAGGGATGGGGTGCCCACCGTGTGGACCAGAGGGAGCCAGAGATACAGAGGACATGAAGGAATAGGGGGCAATGGGGTGAGTAAAATATTCAGGAAGGGTTGTGAAGGGCAGTGGGGAACAGTAGGCACAGAAAGAGGAGATGCAAGTGAGAGCATGAGTCATACGCGGAACAGGAAATGGGGTGATGGACCCGGGAAGGGAAGAGAGCAGGAGCCACACCGGTGATGCGCAAGGGGGCGGTGCTCAGCAATGTCATCTTCCCATCCCCACCTCCAGAGCCCATCTAGCTGCACACACTGCAGCTGCTGAATGGCCATCTGCCCTGAGCTTGGGGCCAGGGAGACAGAAGGAACGGGAAACCCAATGGCCACATGTGTCCAATGGCCTGAGGCTGAAAGGTTGTGCTGTGGCGAATGTCCTCATCCTGCTTTGTGCATGCCATGGAGTCACAAGGCTGGCCAGAAGGCTCAGTCTGGGAGGTGGCCAGTGCTGCTGGGCTAGGGGCTCCAAGTGCACATGTGTGCATATATGTGTGTGCCTGCGTGTGCATGCGTGTCTGGCAGCAGAGATGGAAGGGTGTATGGACATGGATGGGGGCAAGAGAGGCTGCTCTGGCTCCTGGAGAGGGTCCCAAGTGTGCCCTGCCAACCACCCCTCTCAACAGAGGTGGGCAGGGGATAAAAGAGCTCCGAGCCCACACACTGCGCTGTGATCTAGGATGCTGGCGCCACCCTTGTGCTGCAGGGATGAATGTGCACTTTGTATATTATACCGCGCACACAAGTAGGAATGATTTCAAATTAGAAACTGTACATGCCATTGCAATGACAATATAATTTTTACACAAGGCAGTGTAACATAGTGGTAAAAGCTGGAATGCCAGCTCTGCTCCCTACCAGCTGTGTGACCCTCTGCAAGTTACTTAACCTCCCTGTTCCTGTTTCCTTTTCTAGTAGGGATGGTAGTGACCATCCCACCTGGTGAATGTGATAATGGTTCTATTCTGATCACAAGATAATGTTGCAAATTGCTCAGAATAATGGCCGGCCCATGGAAGGGTCATGCACCTTTCTCCTGGGCAGTGTCGCTCACTGCCAGGGTAGGACCGAGAGAGTCTTCTTCCATGTGGAGGACAGCGTAACATGGTGGTCAGGGGCCTCAGCCTTGGAGTCAGCAGATCGGGCTCTTCTCTGGCTCTGACACTTTCTAGCTGTGTCACCTGGGGATGGGACTTAGCCTTCTCTATGTGTCATGTACTTGGCAATATTAATGCTTCTCCGGAAGGGGTGTATCAGTATCAACTGAAGTAACAAGACTGAGACAAAAATACTTAAAACTGAGCCTGGCAGAATTCATGTTTGATAGGTGGCTATTATTGCTGCCACTGTGGCCCTCTTGGAGATAGGAGACACTTGTGCAGACAGACTGCTGCGTGCAGGCAAGGAAGTACTGAGCAAGGCACGGAGATCTGGCTTCCAGCCCCTGCCCATCACTACTGCTGTGGGACCTTGGGCAAGCCCCCGGCCTCTGGGCCTCAGTTTCCCCCTCTGTTAAATGAGTGGGTTAGGGGTGTTGTGCTCTGAACTTCAGGGTGGCCTCCTGGGCTCTCCCGCCCAGGCCAGGCACTGGAGCACAAGGCCCATGCAGTCCAGGCAGGGCAGGGAGACCCGCTCAGCCAGGACAGTGGGGCCCACAGCCAGGAATCCCAACATCCTGCTCCGTGGTGTGGAAGCTGTTAGTCTGGGCTGACAGAGGCTTTGAGGGCAGAGCAGCCACATGCGCTGCTGGGCCTGGGTGGCAGGGAGGGCAGAGAGGGGGGCTTTTAGGGGACTTGTCCCCCAACGCAGCCTGCCTGCCAAAGAGGGGCTGGGTGAAAGAGGTGGGGAAGTGGGGACTCACCTTCTCGCCGGGTGGACCCTTCACTCCCTGGGGCAGCCACAGGCACCGCAGGGCGCAGGGAAGAGAGGGAGGGAGGGAGAGAAACGGAGGAGGATGAGAGAGAGGCACCAACACAGGAATCCGTGTTAATGGCACAGCAACCAAGCAGAAGAAATGACCATGAAATAAGAAGCACAACCAAACACAGATGCTGACACACAGCAGGTCCCATGTCCAACCCGCACCGCGTGTGGAAGCGCCTGCTTCGCCCTGGCCCGCCCCAGCTGGCTGCTCCAGATCAGTGAGAGGGAAACAGGCTGGGAGGCAGGAGGTTTTGTATGTGTGTGTCAGACAGACAGACAGACAGACAGACACAAGCATAGAGAAAGATGTAGAGAGAACAAGACTGAAAAAAGGCCAGAAAACCTTTCTGAGAAGCCACGGCCCAGCTGGACAGTCCGGGGGAGGTGGGGTAGGGCTGGGAGAGGGCCCCAAGGACCGTGCTGTGACAGTGGACTCTAGGAACTTTAAAGGCCCAGCTGGGTACCAAGTAGAAAGCTTTGCCAAGCTCAACAAGCCTGGAGCTGTTAGGGATGGCCAGGCCAGAAGGAGGAAGGGCAGAGGGACACGGGTGGACAGAAGGGGACACACACACATCTACAAGGGTGGGGGAGGGGTCAGGATGCAGAGGAATCTGGGGAGTCACCAAGGACCCCATGTAAGGATGTAACCATAGTGACCAGCGGATGATGGACAGCTCCCTCCACCCTGCTCCCAGTGGCGCCACCTCTGCCAAAGTATGAAAATAACCCAGGAATTTCACACCCATAGGTGCCCAGTCCTTATCGGATGACCCAAGCCAGGACCCCCAGTGGGCAGCCAAATGGGCCCTTGTCACATTTAAAGTAGCACCAGCAGCATGAAGCCCCAAAGAGGCTTCAAAGAAGCCCTGACCTGGGAAGTGGGAGACCTCCTGTGGCTCCCCTACCTCTCCCTACTGCTAGGGGTCACAAGAAGCTGGGTGGACACTTCCTGGGGGAAGATATCCACAGGGCCCAAGGAGGAGGGCAGGAAGGAGGAGGAGGGGCCACTCCGCGTGTTGCATCCTTCTTTGAAGCCCGGTGTTGCTCCGGGGGGCAGGGGGCTCTCGAGTGAAGCTGAAGCAGAGTGATGGGGCAGGCCGAGGTCCCCAGTGTCCTGGTCTGGAATTGGTGGGAGAGCTTCAGGTGAGGAGGCTGAGGGCTGCCAGCCCCCAGGCATTGACAGACAAGCCTGGGGTGGGCTCTGGGGAGCTCACAGTTTTATGACAACGGGCACTTGTCCCTACCTCTGGAATGTTCCAGCTTTGGGGCTTCCACCTGAGTCAGACCCCCTTGACAGCTGTGATATTGTGGGTGCACTGCTAGGGTCAACAGCATACATCTGGAGTCTGGCTGTTTGGGCTAAATTCCTGCTCAACCCCTTGCTGGCTGTGTGACCTTGAGCAAGAGATCTAACTACTGAAACTCTGGGGGATTTTTTAATCGGAAAAATGGGGGTGTAAATTGTGCTTCCCTTGTGCAGTTCAACAATCCACTATGCGTGAGGCCCCTAGCAGAATGCCCAGCATAATGTTAGCACTTGGAAGGGTTAGTTACGGTTTGGATGCCTGGTCTCCATGCTCAGCCCAGGCGTGCAAAGTCACACAAGATGCCACAGCCATGCCAAGACCAAGCCAGCCAGGAATTACATGAGGTGGGGCTGGAGGAGCCTGGAGGTCGAGGCTGATGCTGGCAGGAGGGGGGAAGCAGTCCTAGCCATGTCCTCCACCAGGTTGCCTGGTAGTGAAATGGCGCCTGGCTGTTACCACACCAGGCTGTCACCCTTCTGGTCATCTGGAGCCCATCACTCTGAGGCTGGTAGGAAAAACCCGGGTGCCAGGACCAGGGCCTGTGCCAGCCTTTCCATTCCTGTGACTCACTTGCCCTAACTAGCATCCTCATCCTTTCTCCATCTTCACTTTTCATCAAGAATCATTAAATGTTTTCACGCTGAGCCTGCTGGTGAGGATCTGGAGGCACCGTCTAGAGCCAAGCCCTGTCTTCACCATCTCTGAGTGAATCTCCTACTGCAGAAGACACTCCAGAAATGCCGGCCCCCCGGGGATAGCTGCAGGAGGGGCGGTAAATCTGGGGGTGAACTGCCTGCTCTGGGGAGGTCAGTGGAGTCCTCCGGATAAGGAGGTGAAGACTTCACCCCAACATCATCCAGGAGGCAAAGAGTTTTGTTTTTCCAGTTCCCTGGCACTTCCTGGGTGCTGTGACAGCTGTCTGCAGAGCACACTTGTCTTCATTCCTGTGCAGAAACTCATCCTAAGACCCCCCCTGGGGACGCTGGAAACCATGGGTTGTACATAACCCTATATTTACTGTTTTTTCTCCTATACATATATATCTGTGATAAAGCGTAAATTAGGCTAAGAGATTAACAACTATAATAATACAACAGAACAATCATAAAAATATATATATTTTTAAAATTGTATGAACGTGGTCTCTTTTTCAGCATACCTCCTTGTATAGTAAATATTTTTGGACTACAGTTAGACACAGTTAAACCATAAGGGAGAACTACTACGAAGCCTTATCATGAGATCTGAATACTGGGATAAAATTTCTTCTCTTCTCTTTCCCTGTCCCTGAAGCTGCTTGGGGTTGGGATGGGCAGCAGTTTGCCAAGTTTTGGAGGACAGGCCAGCACGTAGAAGCAAGCAGTGGCCACCCGAGCAGGTACAAATGCCAACTCACCACACGTCCAGGCATCCCAATGGCACCTTTGTCCCCCTGATGAAGGAGGCAGAAATAATCAGATGTGGCTGGAATCAGCCAGTGTGTGCCCTGGGTTAGCTGTGTGGAGCTGTGTCGAGCACACAGCCCACTCACTTTGCATGGGCAGCTGGGACATCCTGCACGATGCCCGAGCTGCTATGGATGAACTCCCCAGGCGGCTCCCCCAGACTATTCAGTAAGTGGCTACCTGCGCTCAGGCCTGCATCGTAGAATGAACACTGAAGTCAAAGTCTAATCTCCAGCCTGGTCCTCAGTTTCCAAGCCCTTCCTCTCTAAGACCTCTGCTGCTGTTTAGGCTAAACAGCAACCCACTCTAACAATGATCAGAATGCACCTCACTTTCATCACCCTCAAGTTCAAGGCACCGATCAAGGTGACTGGTGGGTGAATCACTTTCTTAGGGCTGTCTGCCTGAGCTGGAGAGCGGTGCCCATGCTCCCCTGCTCCTCTGGGCCCCTCTGTCTGCAGAAGCTGCGACCGAGTCCTTCTCCTGCCCTCCCACCTCTTGGCCACCTCCAGTAAGAGCAGGAAGGACCTCGGGCCATATGGATTGAGCTGCATCATGAGTTTCAGATGCTGAGAGAGCTGCTTTGTTTTGTTGCCAGGGGTTACATCTTCTCACTCTGGAAATCTGCTTATTAAGTTTTGTTTCTCTTCTTTTTGGTAGAAAATATTTTTTTGCAATCATATGCATGCAGACATCATAAAATTTGGGGTGGGGCCTGAAAGGACGGAAAGCACTGGCGTGCGGGAAGTAAGGTCATGTTTGTCTGGCCTGCTGGGCAGGAGAGGAGTTCATTCTTTAATTTCCCTGACATGCATAGGCATTTCTGGGGTGACTCTTTCTGCTGACCTCACTGAGGCAGAAGGCCTCATGGGACAAGTGGCATCCCCAAATGTATATGGGACACATCAGAGAATGTGGTCAGCTCTGAAATTAGACTTCTGTCACACACACACACACACACACACACACACACACACACACACACACACTGTCTGAGTAAAACATTCCGCTGTTGCTCAAAAGTATCAAGGCGGTAGTGCAGGCTATAAGCACTGTTTCCTTAATGTCCTTGAGCTTCCTTGAACGTGATAAGAGGGCCGTTTTCAGCCCAGTGCTTGGCACTTGAGAGTTTTGAGTAAATCACATATTCTAGTGCTAAGCTTAGAATGGCCACAGCCACGGACAAGTACACATCTAAGCACGTTCATGCTTCACATCTCTTATTTTACAACAAAGGGCCGGCGCCTGCAAATCCTCCCAGGTCCTCTACGAGAAAGAATCCACAGGACCATGACCCATGGATCTGAAATCTGCTCTTCCTGCTGGGAACACCAGGCCAATGCTGGGAGTCAGCTGTGACATCTCCATGATCCACTTGCTCTCGGGCTTTTGAATGATATTTCAGGATGTGTGTTTTGGATTCTTTTTCATTTCTTTTTTTTTTTAAATTAATGTTCTTTGCAGTCTTGGCCATAAAATGCTCGGGTTAGGGACAGGCACGGAATGGCCAACGCCTGGAAACTGCAGCAGCCACTGCTCTGTGAATTGCCCCCTAAATGCTTTTTAAAGGTGGATACCATAAGAAAAAAAAAACAAAAGTCTGCCCACGTTCCCTGCAGTCATCTGACTTCTCCCCTCCTTGAGTTTCATGGGACTGATTTGCCCCTCTGTCCTCCTAGACTCATGCTTACTGGGAGGGTTTCCACTGTGGAGGCTGAACATTCTCCCACATGCATTTCATTAAGAAAGTCACCACCTGGCGTGAGTTCTAGAAGCTCCCGACTTAGCCCTAAGGGCTGCAATGTAACTCATGTCTAAAGGAAAGAAGTGAAGAAGGGTCTGGAATCCAGTGTCTTGGTCTTGAGCAAAGACACACAGAGTACACAGGTGCCACCCTGGTCCCCTCCATGCCCCACCTTGGAGCTCTGACTGGCTATGGCATCTTGCCTCAGTCACCTCCATCCCAGGGCCTGCGGTGTTAATATCCAGTCATTTATCTAGGCTGGATTCCACAATTTCCTAGGCGACTTTAAAGATCATTCTCAATTGTCAAGTGTGGGCTGCAGAAGGGAGCAGTATGGAATGGACCTCACATAAGGGAGCTCCAAGAACTGGAGAACAGTTTCTACCTTTCTGAGTCTCAATTTCCTCATCTGGACAATGGGTATAATAGTACCCATTTCAATGAGTTGTTGACCAAATCACATATGAAGAAAGATTAGCATATGTGTGGCACCTATTAAAGTCTTAGTAAGAGATAGCTATTGGTGTTATTTCTACTTGGCATAGCCTCTCTAGAATTCAGAAATAGTAACTGGGGAAAATCAAAGTTTTTGAGTCTATGTTTTTACCAGAGGGCACAGGAGAAAGTGGAGCAGGGGTTGGAGTATTAGCTGGTAAACAGGGAGATCTCAGTGAGTTTTGCCACACCCTACTCCCAGCCCTTTCATTATAGGACCATTGGTCTAGATGTCAGGTCTAGTGTTGGGAGGGTCTTCTGCTATGATCGCTGCCTGGCAACCAGGAGGGGCATCTAGAACTAGGTAGGGAGTTGGGGGAAGTACCACTCTCAGCTATAGGCCACAGACTCAGAGAGGCCCCTCACCCAGAGACACTTACGGGAGAATCAGCCACTCACCCCAGACTGAAAAGGCACATGAGAGGCTGGGGGTAGCTCAGTGGTAGAGCACTTGCCTGGCATGTGCAAGGCCCTGGGCTCCATCCCCAGCACCCGCCTCAAGGAAAGAAAGGTAAAAGAGAAATGGAAGGAAGAAGAAATGAAACAGTTACTTACAGGGAGCCCAGGTCTTCCAGTGGGGCCCTGGATAAAGGAGGGAAGAGTGAAGTTTACACAGTCATGCTATGAGCAGCCAACCGTTCAGTACCACCTCAGCCAGCTGTGTACCCTTGGGTAAATCACTGTGCTCTGTGGGCTGCTGGGAGAAGGTGAATGTTAAAAAGGATTATCACAGTAAAAAACATCTTGCCACTAATCCTTCTCAGAACCCTCCCCCTCACTTGGAACACTTCCCATTGTTCTGGTCACTTTCCGAAGCAGTTCTGCAAGTCCTCCTTAGTGTCTTTAGTTGTACTGTGGTGGTTGCCTCAGTGTTCTGAGTTGATTTAAAACATGTACCTTTTGTGGTCATTTTGACTTTGGGAAAGAGGCAGAGGTTGCCCAGTGACAGATCTGGTGAACACCGACATACTACAGAGTTTTTACAAGTCTACCTTTCTGCTGGATGGCACATGGCAGCACCATTCACCGCATAAGGACTTCCAGAACTTCCCCCGTCTCACCACACAGGAAAAACCTGGGCAGAGCCTGTCATCTGCTGGGACGTTCCTGCTGGACCTGCCAAATCTGAGCCCATGGCTGTGACCGTGGTAAATGGGGCAGGGTGGGGGCTTTCCTACATCATGAAGGAGGCAGTGGGACTTCCTTTGACGTTCTCTGACCAGAGTCAAACCACCCACTCCACGATGGGTCAGTGGTGGGCTGGAGAGAGGGCAGGAGGTTGGTACTGGCTCTTGGTGTACATAGAAGCCCCTGAAACTCCAGGAGCCTGCTTCCTTTGACCACAGCTCTGCCTCCTGCCCTTTATTCATGACCATGGCACAATTCTGGGCATAAACTAAAGACTCCAGAAAATGGGTCTGAAATCCCATTGAAAAGAGGAAAGCATTTAACAAAAGATACTTGTAATAAATTAGAATAATTATCATTGTAGCAATATGCACAGGAGGAAGCTCAAGAACCAAGTAAATCCTGAAGATGTGTCTTTTTGGCCCTGGATCCTGACTTCTGGGTGGATGTAACATGAGAAGGAGGTTGAGAAACTGCCCTAAAACTGCCTCCTGGGGCATCAAGGGCACCTGCCAAAGAGGGAAGAAGCCCTGGGGAGATCTCTGGGAGCTGAATGCCTGCCCTGGCAGGGAAGGATCTGGGACAGGGGAGGGTGCCCCATCAGAGGGACCATACTTTCTAGGTTAGGAGCTCAGGCTCTGGAGTCAGCCCATGTGAGCTTAAGTCTTGGCTCTGCCACTTGCTACTTGGGCTCAGTTTCCCTGTGCCTCTGTTTCATCATCTTAAAAGCACAAAAACAATCCTTACTCATCCTTTAGCATTAAACGAGATAGTGTATAAAGCATTGAGGTCAGGGGCCGAACCATAGACAGCCTAGGAGGACGCTGGTTGTCACTGTTGTAGGAGGAAAGAGGACACATCGGGGAGGTGCGTGGAACTGGCCCCCCTAGCTCTCCTAAGGCAGCATCTTTCCGTCCAGCCATCAGCTCTTCCTGTAGACCAAGGACAGAACTAGGAGTGGGTCTCAAGTGTCCCTGGGAGACAAGTCCATCCCTGAAGGATGCTGAGACCAACTCAGGCAGCACCAGGAGTAAGTACCCCCAGCTTTGCCCTTTTCCTGAGGACAGTTGCTCAGTGGTGGTGCAGGGGCTCCGGCCGGCTGGGAGTCTTTGGGGGACTGTTGAACAATGGCCCTCACAGGGTTCAGGACTCATTCTCAGCCTTCTGCATGATTTTCCCCCATAGCACTAAGATGTGAGCTCAAGTGCCTGAGAGGTGCTCAGCTCCTTGTCCTCCTGGACACCTCCCTGGGACTGAATGAACTGACAGCTCAACTCCATACTGTCCCAGTCCCCAAAAGGACACCAGACCTGCAGATCCAAGGCCCTACCCTCTTTCACTTCCTACCTGCCTAACCCCAACCTTACCCAGAGGGAGTGAGAAGCGGGTGTTGCCCTCCTCCCACACACTCTCAAGGGTGGATGGGGTCAGTGCAAGATTACAATCTCCCACAGTGGGTCTGCCTGGGATAGGAACAGGGGGCATTTCACTTACTGCTCCTATGTACTTACAAACCACACCACCCCGGTTGTGCCAGCCTTATGAGGACACATGGCGTGAACTATCTCAGGGCTCAGGCCCAGGAAAAACCGGGTGTACTTCTACCCCAAGGTAGCTTGAGGCTCACAAAAACTCTGTTCTCTTCTTTGCTCTGCTGAGCAGGGAGCTCACAGCCAAGTTTCTTGCCTCTGTTCTACGTCTGCCCCTCGCCCCACATTTCCTTCTCTGGTTTGTAAATCATCCCCCTCCTTGGAATGAACAGGGTAGAAAAAATGAAATATAAAAAATCCACAGAATTATAATTTCCTTCTTAAAATTAGACACTTACAAAAACCTCTGGGGAAGGTTAAGTATATATATTCTAAGCAGAAAAAATATAAATGTGTAATATGTTTATATACACACATTCCTCACAATACCCTGAAGAAGGAGATATACTATTTGTGAGGGATTGAAAACTGGTGGTCAACCTGTAACACCCGGCTGAACAGAATCAGCGTGGTGCTGGGTGTGGAGTGCCCGCCTGAGGACTGTTGCCAACAGTATAAAAAGGAGAACTGGAGAGGAAGAGGTGCTGTAGGGAGCTGTTGGCCCTCCTGAGGAGCTTGTCGTGCTGGCTTTCCTGATACAAACTCAGCTGTTCTCATCGTTGGAGGAGCTCAGGACTTTGTTATCACTGCGAATGGCTATGGTTCACTTTAGGGGAGTTCTGGTCCTCACTTTGAATATTGCTTCCCGGCTCCGGAGGGGAAGATGGTGCACTGTTCAATGTCCTGGAGAAGTTTGTCACTGTGGCTTTCCTGTTCTCATCATCAGAGGAGCTCAAGACCTCGTTGTTGCTGAGGATGGCTGTGGTACTTTTCAGGGGAGCTCTGGTTCTTTCTTTGAGTGTCACTTCTTGGCTCCAGTGCAGATCCCTCAGCCTGCTGGCACAGATCCTTCATCCTGCTGGCACAGACGTTTTAGCTTCCACTACTGACCTTTGGACCTTCCCAGCGCGGATCCGTGAAACAGACTTGCATGAGACATTGTGGAAGGCTCTAGGCCTCCAGCTGGACTTCTTTGGGGCACTGTTATGGACTCTGGGTCTTTGGCTGGACTCATGCAGGAGACTGCTGTGGGATCCAGGCCCTCGGCTGGATTCTTTGCGTCTTTAGTGTGTGGACAGATTTCCTGCACTTCTTTGTACTTGACTCTTCGAGTGACTACTGTAAAATAATCCTATAAATTGTGTGTTTTGTATTAAATTATTTTCCTTGTAAACCCTGACTACAACACTATTGTTATTCTCATTTCACAGATGAGGAAACTGAGGCACAGAGATAAATAATTGCTGAGTCACACAACTAGAATTGACAGTGCTAGGACTTTGGCACTCATCCTCATGGAAATCTGCCAGCGTCCTACACACGGTGTCAGCTTGCAGCTCAGCAAGAATCACAGACAGCCACCCTGGCAGCTGATGTGAAATATTTCCTGATTTTCTTTCAGAGAAGGAGATGCTCCTACCTCCCTTGGTCATCTACTTCAGGGTTACAGCTCCAGTATTAAGAAAGTCCCTACAAATCTGACCCAGGGATGCCAACAGATGTCAGCTGGAGCCCCAGTTCCAATGGACTGGAAGTAACTGACCAAGAGGTTATGTTAAAAACCCTCCCAGTTGATTAGCAATGCCTGCCCAGCACATGAGGGATGGGGTGGTGGTGGCCCCAGATCTGCAGCCTTTTCAGTGGTCCCCATGGCGACATCAACTCATCTCCCGTGGTGTGTGCCAACCTTGTGCTCACAGGAACATGGGTCATCAGGCAGGAAGACAGAGTCCTCCTGAGGACAGCATTCAGGCCCCCACCTTGGACCACTGGCACGCATCTTTCACAGGGAGTGGCGAGAACAGGGCTGTGGTGGTGATTCCACCTGGGCCAGCTTCTTGTTCCTTCTTCCTGCCTTGCAGTCTCCTCCTGCCAGTGCTCGGCAGAGATTCGAGGCTCCTCTTCTGTATCAGGCTTGAACGTGGGGAAAGCTGCCTGGGCCCTTGCCCCTTGCTCCAGGGCTCAGTTGGTGGCCAGGTGGACAGAGACCGGGAACAATGACTCTTCGTTTGCTCCTGTACTACCGAGCCCTGGGAACAGCTTCTGGGTCAGGGTGCACACGCTCTCAGGATGCTGAGCTCCTGTCGAGAGAGGCCCCTCAGGTTAGGCAGGGGCTCCGAGCTGGTACTGACAGGCTGGCCCCATGGGTGGGGTGTGTGGAGCAGATGGACACACGGCCTAGTTCCAGCAGTCACCTGTGGGTTCCCGGTGGCAGTTTATTACAGAAGATGCATGACAGAAATTGCTGTCTGACAACCCTGAAGTGTCATGACAAACGTCGCCTCCTCTTCAGGGAGCAACAGGCTTTTCCTCTCTTGCTGTGACCTAGCAGACAGGGCCTTGGCAGGGTCCTGAGTGGGTCTGAGGGTGTTTTGGGGCACCGATGGAATACAAATAATGGTCTCATTAGAAATCAGGCAGGCAGCTCTCACAGATGGAAATGACTTCTCAGAGAGAGGGAGGATGATGGGGTGGATTTCAGTAACCTTGAGAACGATCTGATCGAGGGCTCCCCCAGTGCCTTCTGGGTCTTTTGTTGGGGTATCAAATGCTGTCCCTCGGAGCACATGTGCCCTGCTCTCTGGATCCATTACCTTGGGAGGGAGGTGTCTCCTTGGGCTTGTCTCAGGTTCTTTGGAAATGCCTCGGCTCTCCGCCCACTCTGGGAGTGAGGCCCAGGAAGGAGGGTGACGTGCTGCCTAATTTATGTGTCATCTCCAGCCTAACCAGCTGACACTGCTCCTGCACACAACTGGCACTGCCAGCCAGCTCCACCTTCCCTAAGTGACTTGGCCAGGATGGAGCTGCCCACTCAGGGGCGTGGACATCAGGGACCCCTGAGCTGTCCGTACGGGGATGGGGGCCACTCCCTGACCTGCTTCCTGAATGGGGAGGAATGTTTTCAGGAGCAGGATGGAGTGGGAAAGAACCTTCCCTAAGAATCTTTCCCCTCTCTAGTACTTGCTGCTTTCTCAACTCCACGTGCTTCTTTGGGGGACAGAGGAGCTGGTCTGACCAGGGGCAAGCCAGCCTTGCAGAATGAAACTAGGGCCTGCTTCCCCTGGGGACAAGCCCTGCCTTGCCCTGCAGAGGTGCAGGTAGACAAAACAGTAGTCTCCTTCCCTATGTAGACAAAGAAGCCGTCTACACAACAGTCCTCCCAGCACCCCGTTACCGGCAGATGACACAGGCCTTTCAGACACACACGGCCGCTCCAGGGGGAGTACTTACAGGAGGTCCTGCAAGAGAAAGAAAATGTCCTGTCAGTGTCACTGCTGCCAGCAGGGGGCGGTGGGGAGGCCACCATAAAAGCAGCATCCAAAAGCCCCCGGGAGGAGGGGTTTCCATCTGGGCTTCAAAGTTGGTGTTTTGCTGGCTCGCTTTCACCAATCTAATCTCTCCCCGCTTTTCTCAATCTCTATTTCCATTATTGGAGGAGAAACCCCCTAGGTCTGGGTCCAGTGGGGGTGCTGATTGTGGTCCCCAGGCTCCGCTTCACACCGCACAAAATGGGCTCCTGGGGACTTGCCCACACTTGTGTTCCACACAGTATGGCAGAGGACACCAGAGCACAGCAGAAAGGTCCAAATCACAAGCCCAGGAGACCGGCATCGTCGGCCTGATTGCTGTCCAGCAAGCTTCCCAGGACACGCAATGGAAAACAAGCAGGAAGGAGCAGGGCGGGGGCGGCTTCTCCTCAGGCCCCCATCTGATGTCTGCCGCCTGCCCTGGTTTCTGTTAAGCGGTGACTCAGGCGTCTTGCCCTCTTGGGTCTGCCGCCCCTGCTGCTTTCTGACGCCCACCACTCGGCCTTGCGCCCAGCCCTCCCTGCGCGCCTCTCTCCCTCCTGTGCTCACTGTCCCTCGAGGCAGCCCTATCTCATTACTGGCAAGGGCCATGAAAGACAAATTCAAGCATTCCAGGGAGGCGCAAGGGGAGTGGGGCACAGGGGGTGGCAGGGAAAGAGTAGCGGGAAAGTGGGGAACCAGAGACATTTCTGCAGGACGGGAGCCGCAGAATCCCAGGAAGCCCGAGGTTCCCAGCTGGGCCTGTGCATCGGTCCAGCCCCTGGTGACCTGGCCACATTGCCCCCGGAGCCACTCCTGAGCTCGACCAATAAGACTTTTTTATGTTCCTCTCGCTCCTCACATTCTCAAAGCTGGCTTCCTCCTCTCCTTCTCCATCTGCCCTCGTCCCTGAGCTTGTGGCCATCCTTTAGGAAACAGCTTATCTGATGCTGGCCTCTCGCAAGCTGTCATGTGAAAGGGGAACAAAGTGTTTGGAATTAAAAACAAAAGAAGGCCAAGAGTTGTGGTGCAGGCCGGGAAGCCCCAGGTTGGTGGGCGGAGCTGCACTCAGAGTTCCCGAACAAGCCCGGGATGGGGAGGGGAGCATCTGGGGCCGATTAGGCTGAGGGGCAGGGGGATGTCACCTGGAACCTGGAACCTTCCCTCAAGGCCAGTCTGTCAGCGGGGCCAGCCCAGCTGGAAAACCAAGCCTCCTGGCTCATGACGAGAAGGAGGCTGGTGACAAAGTTCAGCCTGTGGCGATTGAGACAGTTCAGCTACCTAGAGGGCAGATGCTCTGGGGAAGACCCCGTGCCACAGGCCAGATCCCTGACAACGGGTTCTCCCTTTGGTTAGCAGTCTCAGCTGCACAGGAACCAGACACAGGCAGCAGACACAGGACAGCTGAAGGATGTGCATTCTCCGGAAGACTTTGGTGGGTTTTGCATCACTGCCATTGTCACTGCATGTTCCACTAAGTTCTTGCTAGGTACCAAGCATAACTCTAAGGGTTTTCCTTGATGAAGTTGGTTCTTTCTTTTTTTTTTTTTTTTGGAACTGAGAATCGAACTCAGGACCTTGCGCTTGCCAGGAAGGCACCTGTGCCACTGAGCTATACCCTCTGCTGAAGTTGGTTCTAATGTCCCCACTATGTGGATGAAGAAAGTGAGGTAGGGAAAGCTTGAGTGACTCTGCCAGGGCCAAGCAGTTAGTAACCGGCAGAACTCCGGACCCATTGCTGCAGTGCATCTCTCTATGCCTGTCACTCAAACAGCAACTCAGCCCACCCCGAAACTGCCTTCAGACCTCGTCCCCCTAGACCTGTTTGGATACCTGTCATCTCCAGCCGCTGTGCCTCAGTCTGTCCTCAAGCCTCTGATCTGAGGCTGCTGTGGCCTCAGGAGCAACCTTTGCCCACCAGGGAGGGCTGGGGGCCAGGGAAGGGTGTACAGCAGCTACCCAGCGTGGGGACCTTCTTGATCATATCTGTCACCCACCAGCTTCCTGCCCCCCCATGTGACCCACCTTCTCTGAGTAAGGCGGCCACATTCCTTCTAAATGGCCACACAGGAAAGGACTCTATGAAGAATCCTGGGACAGCCAGCATTCTGGCTTTTTGTCAGTGCCCTTTTTGTGTGTTCATTCATTCATTCAACAGCATTTAAGGAATGCCTACTATGTATCTATTGCTGTGCTGGGCTATGAGCTATAGAAAGATGCATGATGCATAGTCATTGCCCTTTGAGGAAAGAAAGCTTAGTTTGGGGAGCACCCATTATCTACCAGGTACAATACTAAGCCCCAGTAAGAAAGGTGGAGAATTTCTAGAAAAGAGTTCTGAACTAAACATGAGGATCTGGGGAGAAAGATTTGTTGTAAGAGCACTCACTCATTCATTCATTCAACATTTACTGACTGCTTATTATGTGGCAAGTATAGAGCTAAGTAAGGTAACTTTAACATTACATTAACCTTTACTACATCTTGCAAAGTTGGTCCCATTTCATGGATGGGGAGTCTGAGCCTTAGAGGTTAAGCAACTTGCCAAAGGCAATATTAGTTTTTTTTTTTTTTTTAATTTATGCTATTTTATTTTTGCTGCACTAGGGATTGGATCCCGGACCTTTACACTGAGCCATATCCCCAGCCTTTTAAATTTTTTTTATTTTGAGACAGGATCTTGCTAAGTCACTAAGTTTCCCAGACTGGGCTCAAACTTATGGTCTTCCTGTCTCAGTCTACCAGAGCGCTGGGACTGCAGGCATACGCCACTATGCTGGTTTAATACCCACTCTGAGAAATTTTTAAAAATTTCCATAGGGCAGAGCCTACATTGGAACCCGGCCTCTTCCTCTGAAGCCTGTGCTTTCCAGGCTGAGGTCATGAAGATCCTCAAAGGAGAAGGTGTTGCCTGCCTGATCCTACCCAGTCCCGGGATCCAGTCCTGGTCCTAGGCAGGGGGAATAAGTCACAGCATGCTCCCAGGCTTAATGTCCCGTGAGCTGCAATCTGGTCCTGCTTGACTGCTGAGCTCCCAGAAGCTGAGGCCCAAGCCCTGACCCACATGCCTCAGGAGGCTGCTGCCAGGATGCTCGCAGCTGACCGCCTGCCACTTGGCTGTCATGTGTCTGAGCCACCCATCTCCGCAGGGCAGACGTTCTTCTGCTCATGGAACAAGGGTTCTCATCTAAGGGACTACGGACAGTGTCTAGAGACGTTTTTGATAGTCACAATTGGGAGGCTGCTATAGGTCTCTGGTAGGTACACGCCAGGGGTGCTGCTAAGTAGAGAATGCACAGACGCCCCAATGACAGAGACTTGTCTGGCACGGGATGTCACAGTACTGAGAGTGAGAAACCTCATGTTGGACCAAGGGCAGACTACAGGTTCTACAGCTCCTGCCCTGCCTTCACCCCTCTGTTGAGGCCCGGCCCTTACCTGAGCTATGATTGGTCAACATTTGGGATCCCATTCTTTTACAGTTTTGCCTGTTTTGCCTCCACTCCAGAATTTGTTAGGACACATCATAACTTACGTTTTGTGTCTTTGCTCTGAGCCTGACACCGTGCAAGGAACTTTAAGCGCCTACTCCATTCAGACTGCCCAAGAACTCAGTGGAGCAGCTACTGTGATTACTGTTCCCATTCTGAGATAAAAAGGCTGAGGCCCAGAGAGTGCAAGGTCATGGAGCTCTCTGTCATCTGAGCTGATGCTCAGATCCAGGCCTTGGACTGTTACAGCACAGACACAGGTCAGGACTATGACCCCAAAGTCAGAAGGAGGTGCTATAGTGGAAATCAGAGGGGCAGCCTCAGCCTCACAGAGCAGTGGAGAAGGGGAACCTAAGTAGCTTCACCAAGGTGGTCATTGGCAGCTGCCAATGAAGGACCTGTTCCTTCCGTGCCTACACCACCCGCTAGCATCTCTGCTGATCTCAACAGCTGGGTAGGCATCAGCAGGGGAGGGTGACGATTCATAGTGGTTCCTACACCAGCCTGTGTACTGCTGTCTCTATTGCCCACCGAACCTGAGCCTGGCCCTGCCAGGTAAGTCAGAGAAAGGTCCGCATGCTTTCCCTCCTTGCCTTACTTCCAGAGGGCTCTAGCTCTAGTTCTGTCTAGTTCTTCCAGCAAGGTCCCCTCCAGGGTAGTTCCTGCTTTAGCCCCAGAAGTCCCTGGCTGACCTCTGTTATTTGCTGTGAGTGCCATACCTGAAACCACTGGTGGGCAATGCCAGAGACCACTTTGCTGGAGTGTCCACGGCAATGGGTTTCAGGGCTCCTTGACCACCCTTCCTTTAGCAAAGCCTGCCCTTCAGTCTAGAGATACCCACTTCCTGCTCATCTTGACTGGTGAAAGCCTGGGAGTAGGTAGGGGTTGAGTCAGCGGGAGGAGGAAGACTCAGATGCCTGGCCAGCCTTGGGCAGCCTCCTTGGTAGCCACTCTATTCCACTCCTTCCTGGAGGAACCCTGCTTTTATTCTAGCCACTTCCCGTCTTCCACACAGCCCGGTGAGGGCTGCAGATAGCCTTGGTTGGGTCATTTAGAGCGGGTAGATGGGGAGAGCTCTCAGCAAGGACACAGAAGCATAGAAAACCCCATCCCTCTACTGTAGTTCTGTCTACTCCAGGTCTCCTTTAACTGGAAGAAGCAGCCTCAAAGCTCCAGGAAATGGCAGCAGGCTGCACGTTGTGGGAAAGGGAGCCTTGGTATGGGAGACCCAGCCCAGGCCCTGGAAGGATGACACTCAGACCCAAGATGGCCAGAGGACACCCCCATGTGCCTCCCAACCCTGTGACATCAGTAGGTCTCCCCAGCCAGCCATAATCCTGGGAGGATGAAAGAGAGAAGGGACTGGTATACTGATAGGGAGTGCAAAAGCCTGAGGATTAAACAGGAAGTTGAGTTTTTCAGAAATATTTTTTTCACTCCTCAGCAGAAGACAGAGGCTTC